AACATGGGGGTCTCTACCCCAAGAAGGGGATAGGGGTACAGCTACAGCCCCTCTAGCTGGGGTAGAAGTGTCCAGTGACTGCAAGCTTCCATGAACACCCTTGTGTGTTTCAATACTAGTTAAAGCATCCAATGCACAGTTTGGGAAGAAAAGCAGTCCTAGACTGTATAGTTTTCTGCCTTCCATTTCTGTAGCTGCATTTGTGCAGCACTCTTCTTTCCTCCAAAGTGAGTTTCTCCTCCCTTAGTAGGGAGGGGAGAGCAGGCTGGGGAGTTTGGTGGAATAAGACATAACATGTCTTATTCCTCTTATCCAGAGGGAGAAAAGAAGGGCAAGCATTTTGGTTGAAGAAAAACATGCTTGGTTTCCTCTAGAATGGGAAGGTCCCTTTGGTTAGCAAAACGGAAGGAGGGAGGGAAATTCCTGAAGGTATGCAGCAGATCCAGGCTCCAAGAAATAAGGGCTTTAGCTCACTTCTGAAACACTGAAATTCAGATACGACAGACTGCTACTTTATCTTCCAAACCCTAAGATTTCCTATGGTCTGTACTGACCCAAAACCAACAGCAGAGGACCTCAGATTAACCCACCATGAGCAATCCCAATTAACGCTATTCCCACACCATCCCACCACCCTTCAGCTCTTTGAGCTGTTGACTGACAGGCTACCACACACACCAGAATTTCCTCGTGAAAGACCAGATGGCGTTGAGGCACACAAGCCAGAAGCAGGCTTGTTGGTCCATCCCCCTTAACAGCATCTCTTTCCACAGGGGACTCCCTCACCTACCACCAGGGCCGTCCCTTCTCCACCAAGGACAGGGACAACGACGTGGCCGTGACCAACTGTGCCATGTCCTACAAGGGGGCTTGGTGGTATAAGAACTGCCACCGGACCAACCTCAACGGCAAGTACGGAGAGTCCAGGCACAGTCAGGTAAGGGCAGAGCTGGGCTGAGACCCTTCAGCATTTCTTCAGGCTTGGGCTGCATGGTTGAGGCACTGGGGTCGCTTACATGGGCTGCCTTGGTCATTTGCCATGGCATTCTTTTAGGTCACACTACAAAATATATCCATCAGATCTCATTTGGAGCCTTTGGGCAGTGGGAAAAAAATGAAAAACAAGCAAGCCAGTGCAGCAGAAGAGTTTCTTGCTCTTCCAGTAGCAGGGTTTTCCTCTGGTTTCTCTATGCAACCAAGCTCGTTTCCTTCCTCTCACGCTTTCATTTTGTGTGTGTGTATGCCTTTCTTTACCCCAAATCCTAAGCTTGTACCCTTTACTTCTTCCTCCTTCCAGGGAATTAACTGGTACCATTGGAAAGGCCACGAGTTCTCCATCCCCTTTGTGGAAATGAAGATGCGACCTTACAACCATCGTAACATCTCTGGGAGGAAGCGACGGTCCCTACAGCTCTGAGCCAGCAGAACTCCCTTCCCACCACCTGACCTTTTCTGTCATTTGTTTGTATTTTATAATATGAAAAGGGGAAAAAAATATACTCCTCCTCTGAGATAGCAACCTACCCCTCACAAGTCCTGGAGGGAACCACAGCACAAGCAAAGGCTGTGGGGAAAGAAAGACCTCATTGCTTTGCATTTGTCCCAGAGAAATACCAAATTTCCAGTCTCCCTAACCCCATACTCTGGCCCTTAACATGAAAAGAAAGAGAAAGAGACAGAGAGATTTTTTGATATTTTTGTTAAAAGACCTAGAAATCCCCAGCAAACCCTGTCCAACACTTTTGTCACAGGGCTGGTGGCAGAAGCCTTCCCAGAAGGGGACCCTAGTGCCATCATTTCTACCCCAAGGCACAGCCAGGGACACCTGGCCTCCCCCCTCATCCCTGTCTTTTCTCAGCAGGGAGGCCCTGAGTCCCTATAGACACCATCCTTCAATAAGCAAGCTGTCACACTTCAAGCCCATGGCAATGTGTTTGGGTTACTGAGCTCGAGAGAAAAAGAAGAAAAGAGAAGATGATAGACTGAGTTAAAAAGAAGATCAATTCTTTCAGTCTTGAAGTCATCATTAGGGTCCGTTTCTTCTGCTACTTCTTTATGCCACCATGATGTCATTCACAGCGGTCGCTGGTCCCAAACCAAAGAGCCACAGTGAAGGACCAGCAACCAAAAAAGCCATCGCACAGCCAGAGCTCAGCCTGAAGCCAGCAGTTATGTCATGCCATGTTCAGGGACCCGGATGCAGCAGGGGATGATGACAGCACAGCCAAGGGAAGACAAGTGCATGCTGAGAAAGGCTTGTTGCTTTCTCTCTATCCCTCCATGCTTCCATCATAAGAGGGACCCAAATCTCAGTGCCTTGGTATCACCATCTTTCTCATGGGAAATCAACTACTTCCCTCCTCAAAAGAAGGCTTGGCCCATTTAGATTTTGGAGCACCTGGAGACCCTTGAAAGAACAGACGCATTCACTCTTCCCATTCTTAATTTCTCTTATCTTACGGAAAACGGACACCTCAGGTAGACTTTGTTGTGCTCTGCTGCCATTGCTGCCACCTGCACAGAGCCCCAGTGGTGCCCCACTGGCCATCACCACGGACCCATCACTCCACAGAGGCTCTGCTCAATGCAGAGCTTTGTCACCCATGTGTCCCAGGACAATGCAGCCCATCGCTGGATGCACAGCTGAGGCAGAATTACAAAGGCTAAACATTGCTTTTTGATTTTATCACACTGAAGCTGCTTTGTCTCAGGAAACATCTTCCAGATGGCAACATAAAGGCATCTTTACAGTAGCTTATAATTCAGGCCAGTGTTTCTTTCATGGTCATGCTCCTTGATTTGCTGACGTTACTCATCACCCTGCGGAGCTGAAGGAGGGCATTAAGCAGGAATCCAGCCCCTTTGTCCATGCTGGGCACACAACCTCAGCTGGCCCCGAGGTCAGGATTAGACATGGGTTCCTGCCCCAAGGTGGGCAGCTCACAGCCTGCTGTCACAAATCAGATTTTAATCAGTACTCACCAAGTACTGCTTGGTGCTGAGTCCAGCAGCTGGGGCACAAGCCAGGCAGGAGGCTGCACATGTTGAGATCTCTGCAGCGTCACTGATGGCAATATCTCAGTCCACCTGAGCAGCCTGCCCCATTAAAGATCCCAAAAAGCAGCAGACAGGACTGATTAAAACTGAAGAGGCCTCCTGCTAGACCAACACAGTAACATTTTCCCCATAACCAAGAGTTTACAGGTAAGAAGTACCCTAAATAAAGTGCCATAGTACAGCAGTTACAGCTAGGAACAGAGGTTAGTGGTGGATGGTGTTCATCTCCTGTTCAGGACTGAGCTGTTTGCTTTTCCACCCAGGTGTAACAAAGAGATGGCAGTGAAAAAAAAAAAAATGGTAACTCAACACTGGCTATCAAGGGGAAGGCAAGAAAATTGTTTTCATAAGCACAAAACAAACAGAAAATCAAAACCTGCCTTGCTTTTCCAGGAGGCTCAAAAGAAGATCCTCAAAGAGGCTGGTTATTCTCACAGTAGATGTCCTGATATGCGTCCCTCCCTCTCTGCTCACATCCATCATCCTGTGGTCCTGCAGCTGGGACAGGAGGGTCTGGCCAACACAGCTCTGTCGCCAAGTCTGAAGGACACCCCTGGGGACAATATTCAATCTTTCAGTGAAACAAAACAAGTTCTTTCAGGAAAACAAAAGGGTTGTTACAAGCCAGAAAACCTGGCTTCTTCCCAATTCTCCTTTCAACGTCACCAGCTCTGCTTCCTTCCACCACCATCCTGATGGGTCAGGGCCCCTTTGCCCTGCTGCTGTCACATCCCAAAGCCCACAGCACCAGCAGCGTGTCAGCCCTTCACCCTGCAGAAGACCACATGCTCCAGCACCTCCACAGCCTTCCAAAGCCGCCTCTTGTTTCTGAACCCTAAACACCAGAAGGAAACACCAAGGGACCCTCTCATCTCTTTCCCAATGTGGTTATCCCTCTGTTTCTGTTCCCACCTGACGTCCACCTTTCCACTACACGCTGCTTTACTGCATGACCAAAGACAAGAAGGCCTGAAAGGAAGAGCTGCATTCAGTGAAGTGACACTTAGGGCAGCATTTATGGAGGAATAATGGAGTGGGGGCTTCCCCAAAGATAGCGGGGTTTTGGCAGGAGGATGCTTCAAGAGCATCAGAGCCTTCACCTCTGCTCCTCCTCTTTGTGCTGCTTTACTGTGGGCATCACAAAGCGCAGTACAAGTCTAAATGCGCTCTCAGCTCCTTCCCAAAGCAATATTCACACCATGTGAGACAGAGGTTCAGGCAGCCTGCAGAAGAGCAGCAGGAGCCCCAGCACCCACCCAGCATCTCATCTCCACACCAGCCGGGTTCCCTTTTCCAGACCCCAGCACATCACACCCTGGGATGACCACACACCTCCAAGAGCACTCAGTAGCCTTCACCCTGTCAGATACTGCCAGCAAAAAGTTCTCACCCCAAAAAACTTTAATCCATGCTTATACCCCCCTCCCCAACCAAAGGCTGTGCCCCAGGACCAAGCCCAGCCCCATTTCTACCAACCAACCACCTGTAGTAGGGTCACCAAACCCAAGTAAGCCCACATGGATGAATGGCATGTCCCTGCCCAGCTCAGAGCTATACAGGTGTCAGAGGTTTGACAGAGGGATGGTGACATGGGGATAGAACCAACCAAGCAAAAAGCAGAGCCTCATGTACAGGTGTTACACTGCAATTGTGTTTACTCCTTCAGAAATTAAAAACTAAACAACACAGAAAGGCAACGGAAGAATATAGGCAACGAAACCCTTTGGAGAGATCTTGATGAACCAAACGCAGACCAGTGCAGCCAAATGAGGGGAAGATGAAAGCAGATAAATGCATAAAGAGAGAAAATAAATAATATAAATAAATAATATATTAAACAACCCTCCCCCACCCCATAATGAAAACGTAGCTGGGAGAATGGGATCGACGCTTGTTAACCATTGTTAACTAGTATTTTTAGTCTTGACCGCTCTTAGGCTATGTATAGTTCCTTTTTTTAATGCATTTTCTATACATTAATAAAAGATACCAAACGAGTGAGCTGTGTGCCTCTCTGGGAAGAAACAACAAAAGGGGAGGAATGAGAGGTGATGGCCTTCTATTGTTCCAGGGAAGGTTCAGGTTGGATATTAGGAAAAACTCATCCAAAGAAGTGGTGATGCAGTGGCACGGGCTGCCCTGGGAGTGGCGGGGTCACCATCCCTGGAGGTGTTGTGAACCACGAACATGTAGCACTGAGGGATGTGGGCATGGTGTGGTGGGTTGGGGTTGGACTTGGGGATCTGAGAGGTCTTCTCCAACCTGAATGGTTCTACAATTCTGTGACTCGAGGGCTGAAGCCCCATTGCAAGGTACCCTTCCTCCATCAGCACCTTCCTGGCAGAACGTGCTCCTGGTAAAACAAAACACAGCATGGGTTTAGCAAAACCTCCAAGACAAGTGTGAATCTCAGAGAGTATGGGAAGCCTCCCTTCATTCCACGTGCAGGCTTTATTTAGATCTCACATCTTAAATTTTCATGTTCACCGTGCAGCCAACCAGAATGAGAAAACCCCAAAGAACTGGCAGAACTTCTGCCAGACTGCTAAATTTAATTCCAGGGAGACAAAACCAGGGGAATTTGCTTTGCGGTGCTTTCTATGCTCCTGTTTCTTACTCCAATTGGAGAGAAAAAAGGGAACTGCAGAGCACGGGGCACATCTGCAGCCCCACTGCTGTGGGGAGAGGAATAGCAAAGCCTGGAGCTCAGCCATTGGCATCAAACGAATCCTGTGCCAATGAAAAACCTCAGCTCCAATTTGCACCAAGGATCACAAAGTCTTCTGGAGATGTAGGAGGTAGAAGACATCTCAGTCTCCATCGTGGTGCCCATCTGGGCAGCAGTGATCACTGTGGGTAACACCCAGAGGTGTCCCACCACCTGTGCTGCTAAAGCTGACTGTGCTTTGCATCTCAGCAACCCAACCTGGTGGGTGCCCTGTATGACCCCTAAGTGAGGCCACTGCTCTCCAACACATTTCAGACTGGATAAGGAGGGGGCCAGGCTGCCACAAGCCCTTTCCCATATTCCCCATATACTCCTCCTTCAGGCCAGGGCAGTCCTGAACCCCACCACACCAACCCCATCACCCACCACCGGTGCCCACCCAGCCCATCACCCTACAACCCCTGCACAGCACATTTTTTGCATGGCACATGCACTTATTGCATGCAGTGATGATACTAAGTCCAGCACATTCCAGATGGGGTCACACATGGTAAGATGTCCCATTCCCATTCCCAGCCTCTCCAAGAAGCATAATGCCTGGGCTTTGCACAGCAGCCCCTTTCCTCCTGGGGCCAAGCTCCAGTCAAGCACTGTGCTGCCCGCCACCCCATCTGCACTTTGTACCCAAATATTTCATCAGAGCCCTCTTACCAAAGTCCCCTTCTTGCATGAGTGATGCTTGGGAACTTTGTCCCACCAGCAAACATCAGGAGGGCACACAAGGGTTCTCGGCCAGTCTGTAAGCATTGACTCCAAGCCTGGCACTTGAGCAACAGCAGCTGTAACCCCCCATCCCAAACCCCCAATGCCATCCCCCCTTCTCTGCTTTCCAGCTTAGGGGGCTGGGAAAGCACCCAGTGCCCTGCAGACAAAGTGCTAAGTTTCTTGAGCTTGGGCTGCTCACCTGCCATGTTTGATGCCTTGCAGAACGTGATATTTCCTTACAGCCCTGTTTCTAATGTTTGTTTCTTGGTTTTTATTCCCCCTCGTAAGCCTGAATGTGCTCATCATCCATTTAAAACCCTCATTCCCCTTTTTATCTCTCCGACTCCTATAGCTACAAGCGCTACCACATCATTATGCAGGGCATTAAAAAAAAATCTCTCTTTTAATCAAATCCAAATGTAGGGCTTTTAATTTTCATTGATCCATTATCCTCTCTGTGGGATTGGGAGAGAGGTAAGGGCAGCCCATGGGCTGTTCCCTTTCCCACCTATACAAACACACTGTGCCACTTCCAATTTATTCCAGCAGTTTCTCTTGATAAAAGCATAGGGGATATACATGGTAATCAAGGCAGAAATATTGAAGCTGCATCCTCCTGCCTGCCCACTGATCCTAGCACCATGCAAAGCTTTGAGCATCACCAAAGAAAGGCACCTGTTGTCCCTTGAGGGGGTCAGGGAGAGGTAAAACACCCACAGGAGAAAGGCCTCTGGCTGTTTGTCCTCTCTCCCCTCCAACGATTTGCATCTTGCTTTCATTTCCCCCCTGCCCCAGCTGCACGGTCCCCATAGAGCAGAGCCGTGGGGCAGCATCGGGCCCCAAACACTGAGGTCTTACGCTGCTCGCAACGAGGCTTTGTGCTGAATGTGAGATTAAAAAAATATTTATTAAAAAAAAAAAAAAAGAAAAATGGTGTCTGCTATTTTTTAAAGGAATGGCATTGCCCTGCCCTGCTGCTGCTCTGCTCGGCTCAAGTTTGGGGTGCTGACACTGAGGGGTGCCCAATGCTCAGCGGCAGCAGAGGGACGGAGCGCAATGCAGAGGGCTGTGCCCTGCTCCCATCATTACAAGCACATTCCTACCCAAAAAAAAAAAACATCTTGGCAGCTCTCATCAGGCAGAAACCAGGTGTTCAGAGTAGCATGAGATTAAAAAAAAAACAACAACACAACAGAATCCAAGCAGCCCAACCACACCTCCGCTCCAAGCCATTAACCCCTGGGATTCTGCTTTGCAGTGAGCAATCCCAACAGACAGCAAACCAGGTCAGATACAGCCCTCGGGTAGGAAGGCCCACATCCCAGCATTTTTCATCCTCGAGCATGTGGTTGACATTCCCAAGAAGTCCAGCCCTGAGGTCCAGCCCATTATGGTGCTGGGGGAGCGTTACCCCACTGCCCAATCTCCATGCCAGAGCACCACCTCATCCTCAGGCTGCTCCCCATACAGCTCCTGCAGGCAGTTCCGCTCTCCCCACCTCCTGCTGCCATGGGATTTCCTCAGGAAGGAGCTCCTGCTCACACACACACAGCAACCACCAATTGTTTGGAATGTCCCAAACAAATCCTCCTTTTAACAGGGGGTGCTCAGCCTGACAGCCCCGCACAGCACAGGAGCAGCATCCACATCGCTGCGGGTGCGGGAGCCACAGGCACTTGTGGGGGCACAGCTCCCTGGCAGACAGATGGAACCCAGCGCACTGGGGCCTGTCCTGCCCCTGGAGAACTGCCCCAGGTGGAGGAAGGCCTGACTTCAAGCCAAACCCAATGCAGCTTCTGTGCCCACCACCTGGCCTCAAGCATCGCCCTCCCCATCCTCCTCCTGAGCTCTGCTCCAAAGCCGGAAAGGCGACTGCTGCTGCTCAAATAAATACCAGGGGCCGCTATTTTTATCCAGCAAGCGACCGGGCAGCTTTATTTTTAGCATTTAAACTGCAGCCTCCTTTTCCTTTTTTTTTTTTTTTTTTTTTTTCTCCTTTCTTTTTGCTGGGAGGGGGAGAAGGAGGGAAAAGGCAGAAGCATCGGGGAAAAATGAGAGGAATGTTTCCCTGAGAGCAGAGTTTTCCATTGCTTACTTTGAGCTGCGCCACAGTGTGCAAACAGAGCAGAGGGGAAGGTGTGCCCATGAGCAGCAGTTCTGCTCTGTGTTGGAGGGGGGAAATTTTGCTGTAGTGAGGCTGCGAGGAGGGTGAGGGTGCACGGATGTGGGTTGAAAACACAACATCCTGGGGGACTGCGTGTTTTGGGTTAAAAATAGGCCATGTGCTGGCGGATCCTATGGGTCCCGTGGGATGCAGAGCCCTGCTTGTGGAGCACCGATGTGTTACAGCAGCGTTTTCACCACCAGTCATTGCAGTGTTTCCCAAATGTTCAGGTCTCATTCCAGCTTTAAAAGGATTCTTACCAATGAGACACTGGGCTCCTCAGTCCGTGCTGGAGGCCCAGGAGGAGGAAAAAAGCCGTGTAATCCGGAGCAGGAGTGATTCATCAGCCTCTGAGTCACAGCTTCCTCTGACTTGGTGCTACTTCTGGAAAACAAAGCACCCAGAGAGTTCAGTACGAGCAGCAGTGGCCACATCTTGCCCAAGGGCAGAGCCATCAGTCACCAGCTCCATCACATCCCCTCTGCATGGTCACTGCATCTTTGTTTCCATCCCCAGCACTCGTGCTTGCTGAGTAAGAGCGGCCTCACTGATAGGGAAGTGGGGAGGCTGAATGAAACTAACAGGTGACAGGTTCAAACCCCCAAAATTTGGCTGTTTTTTTTTTTGTTGTTGTTGTTTTGTTTTGTTTTTTTCTTGTAATGCATCTGTTCCAGACCACCACTGGAAAGAGGATATGAGGTATTCAGATATCCTTGTAAGTTATAGAACCATTCAGGTTGGAAAAGACCTCAAAAGACCATCGAGTCCAACCTGCCTCCAAAACTGCTCACTAACCACATCCCTCAGGGCCACATCTCTATGGGTCTGTAACACCTCCAGGGACAGTGACCCACCGCCTCCCTGGGCGGCTGTGCCACTGCATCACTGCTCTTTTGGAGAAGTAATTGTTCCTAATATCCAACCTGAACCTTCACTGGCAAAACCTGAGAGCTGGGCATTGGGGCACTTGGGGCCCCAAAGGCTGGGGCTCAGCAGTTCCTTGCTTGGTGAGGCTTCTGCCAAAGTCAGCCAGCAACAAGAAAGGACTGAGCCACAGTACAGGGCAACGAGCCCATGGCCCAACACCTGCAGCTATGCTGGCCCTGAAGCCGCTAAAAATGGCCACTTCTAGTTAAGGAGGATCAAACAGGCGTGGGGTTTGCCCCGCTTGCTGTGGCCGGGACAACCCCAGCTGTGCGCTCTTCCAGTCACAGCACGCCCGGCCGCCAGCACAGCGCACGGGGCTACGGCGGATCCAGGTTATCCCTCGTGAGCAGATAAAAGAGAAACGGGAAGGAAAGCCTAAAGTGGGAGGGGTGGGGGTGTTCGAAACCGAGCAGGAATCACGTCTGGAAAGCACCGAACCCTCCGAGCACCGCCCTGCAGGGAAGCCGCCTCCTCCGCAGTCCGTCCCGTCTAAGGGCAGCTCTCTCCAGTTCCTGCTCGCTGTGCCCAAACCCCGCGCTGTGAGCCCGGCTCCCCTCGGGCCGTCCGCCCCGTCCCCTCAGCTCCTCCTCTAGGGCCCGGGAGCGCAGCCAGCACCGGGGCGGAGCGGGGGGAGCCCCGCCGGGGCCGGGCCGGGGGCGGAGGCTGTGGGGCGGGCGGCCCATTCCCTCTGCTCGGCGGGACGAGGTAGGTGCGGGCCGGCGGCACGCGGAGCCTCCTGCGGGGTGCCCAGGTGCGGGATGGGGGTGCGAGGTGTTGGGGTGACCGCGGCTGCCACCTCGGAAGGGACGCAGGAGATGCTGTCGACTCCCTCGGTTGGCAGCTGGGCTCCGGGGCTGAGCCAGGTGGAGCCGCGCTCGCGGGGCTCTTGATGACAATGGTGTGGGCATAGAGAGGGTCTTGTGGCCGCTGTGGCACAGTGCCGGGCGAGGTCCGTGCTGTGCTTCGTGCAGCTCAGCCCGTGCTTTCGCTTTAACCCCGTTAGCAGCAGCCGCGTAGGGAGCGCTCATGCCGGGCCGTAGCCGTGAGCCTTCGGGGCACGGGGTGAAGTTCTGGTCCGTGCGGCGGCTCGCAGCACACGTTTGCTTTGCAGCGTTTGAAGCGGATGACGGCAGGGCTGCTGCTGCTGCTGCTCACCACTTCCAGGTCTGCGATGGCTTCACCCCGCTGCCTTCCAATCTGCAGGTGCAAACAGGGAAAACCGGCGGTGTTCCGCATGCGTACCGGCTGCGTCACGGAGCTCGCGGGCTCCAGGGGACCTGGGACACATTGCACCTTGGCTTGGTGCACAGTGACTCCCAGCCCTTGACCTCATCTGCAGAGGCCCTGCAGTTCCTTGCACAGCTGTGGTTGCTGTGCCGCGGATGTGGGCAAGCCAGGCTGCCTGTGCTAGGTTCCCTGTGCCCAGCCTGTGCCCCCCAGCTTGCTTCCCCTCCCCTGTAATGCAGGAGATGCTCTGTCCTTAAAACCAGTTTGCTTCCAGCTGAGGTGGATTAAAGGATGCAGAGCTAGGTCCCCACCTCCAAAAACCCCAACAGGAGAGGCACACACATCAGCTCCAAACCCTACTGCAGGACCTCCCGAGTCAGTTCTCCTGTCAGCCTCCTCCTGATGCGCTGCCAACACTTCCCCAGCACAAAGAACGCATTTAGCAGGCGCTGAGCAGCCCTCCCAGACACTGCCCTGTCTCCAAGTGCCTCCTGGCCCAGTTGATGGTTCTTGGCCCAGAAACACGACGACCTCCCACCGGCAGCTCCGTGTATGCTCACACCCATCCTGGATCACAGCTTGGATTGTGGCTCTGCCCCTCCATCCTTCTCCAAAGGGAGATGCTGCTGCTGCAGCATTAAACGGGGCAGCAGCGCTAAACTTTCCTAAAAAGCAGTGAGAAGGAAGGGCTGCGTGCAGGAAGGCAGGCACTGAGCTAGCAACGGGTGGCCTCGGCTAACCCCAGCACTCAGGCTCAACAAGGCACCCGTTTTCCTGCTCTCCCCTCTCCTATTTATTTATTTAGTAACAGAAGAACCCCTTCATGTAGCGCACAGGCATCTCTTCATCCACAACACAAAAGGCGATGCACGCACCAAAAAGAAAAGGCATTTGAAAAGCAGCAGTGCTACAAGGCAGCCTGGCTGTCATGCTGGGTGCCGTGCCTCTGCTTGCCCTGCAAGGATGCATCACCCCTTGGTTCTGCTATCCCACCCTGCAGGGGTCCCAGCTGCCAGCCTCACCCTGCAGACTAAACAGCCAGTGAGGGCTTTTTCCCCACATTCAGATCCATTTTCAAATGGAAACATTTCAAAGGACTCTCTCCTTTTTTTTTCTTTCCCCCCACTGCAAACAATTAATTATGAGCTTAAAAGGAAGTCCCAGCCCTCCTTCCCTCCCCTGAAGTTTACAGGCAGTAAACATGAAGCGGCTTAGGGCAGGAGTAAAATTGAACATCCTGTTTTGTCTGAAATTGAGGCGGTTGGGTTTTTTTGCTTTTTTCTTTTCTTTCTTTTCTTTCTTTAGAAGCTTTTTGGAATGAAGTGCATCATAGGATCCCAGTGTTCCTGCCTGGATAGCAGGCTGTCAGGATATTCATGGATAAATGGCAAACCTGCTTCAGGCAGACGATTCAAGCCAAGGGAAAGCTGCTCTGTTTATTTGTATGGCCATTTAACCTTACGACATCTGCACTAAAAATGGTCTCAGAGAGGAGGAAATCTGGGACAAGCACAGCTCAAAGAAGTGCTCTCTGCACTCCTCCATGCCCTTTTCTTGCAAAGCAGTGGGCAGTAGGAAGCACCACGAGCACCCAGGGACTTTTTCTTACCCCTCCTGGGAACAAGGCTTTTTTAATTCCTTTTTTACCATGCATGAAGTAGGCAGTGGAGCAGTGACAGGATTTTTGCCTCTGAGCTGCCATTTGGAACCTGCCCACCACAGTGCTGCTTCCCCTTGGCAGGTCGCAGGTGCTGTGCTGGAGGCTGTCGGGCTTTTATGGTTTTTCTTTTGGATCAGATAGCTTTGGTGGTTGTTAGGAGATAGGCTGGGTGCGCATGCACCCAAAGTGTTGCAGGAAACCAAATGCTTAGTACAGGGGTATCTGGAGATAGCAGGTACCACTGCAGCGATACATGAACAGGGAAGGGCAGCACTGGAGAGATGGAGGTTTAAGCTTGGGGCCCTTCCCACTGCTCCCTAGAGGAGGAGAACCAGCAATTCAGTGGATACAGCAAACGGAGTTCAGGTGCCAGAGAAATGCTCTGATTAGCGTTTCTCCCCTTCACCTTAGGTCTATTAGTGAAGGCAAGCAGCTCCTCTGTGACACCTTTGTGCGTATGTCTGGCTGTATGTCTGAGCTGCTGCCTTGTGAAAGTCTTAGTTTTCCTTTTGCTGTGTCCCAGCTTCCCCTGTGGTGCACAATAGGGGCTTCCATACTCCCTTGAGAGACTGTGGGGCTGGACTACCAAAGGCAAAAGCAAAGCAACGAGACACCGATGTAAAATGCCAAATCAGGGTGAAACTTGCTCTCAGAGCCTGATGTTGCTCCTGCTGACTTTCCATCTATATAAACCTTAACTCAATGACCTCCAAATTCTTGGCTTAAAACCCCCAGGAGCTCTGCCTGGCCCTCGAGCAGGAACAGAGGGTGGTTGGGAGTAGAGGCAGCAGCTCCCTTACCCTGGCCGCCTCTACTGCAGGAGGGCTTCCCCAAAAACCTGGGGCTCAGCAGCACCTCTCCCTCCTTGAGGGGGAGGAAAACCTCACGTCATGCCACAAAAATGCTCCTCAGCCCTGCCCAAGCCTTGGAGCAATTCCCAGGTGAGTCATGGAGGCTTCTCAGCCCAGGCACTGCAGACAGCCCCTGGGGGGCATGAGGCTGCTTTCCGGGGACTAGAGTCCCACGCTGAGCCGTGGGTGATCTGCTTGGGTTCTGCAGGCTCTCACCCACCTGAATGCTCCTCCATAGAGCGATTCCTGGCTGGACTCTGTGGGCACAGACCTCTCGCCCTGCAGAGGCTTTGGCAGTGCTGGCAGCTCTGGGAAAAGAAAAACATGCCGAGGGCGCAGGCACCTGATCTGAGTGATTTCTTGTCTCTGCAGGCACCATCCAGAGCAGCTCGTGCAGCCTGTTAGCTCCTCACAGGAGTCAAACATATCCTGAGGAGCCATAAAAGAGGAATCCTGCCCGAGAGCCAGCATGGAGCAGAAGATCAGCTCTTTCTTTAATTCCATCTTGGAACTTGTTCGCACCAAGCACAAGGAGGGCGTCTTCAACACCGTCTGCCTCGCGGTGCTGTTGGGCCTGCCCTTTGTCGTCCTCATCGCGTCCATCTTCATCTGCTGCCACTGCTGCTTCTCCCACTGGAGGAGACAGAGCACGAAGAGGGACAGCCCCAGCAGCAACGGGCAGCTGCAGGCCGAGAGGAACAAGAAGAAGAAGAAGAAGAAGAAGAAGAAGGATGAGGAGGACCTGTGGATCTCGGCTCAGCCCAAGCTGCTCTTGCTAGACAAGAGGCCGTCTCTGCCTATCTAGCGACCAACTCTGATGTCTCCGGTCCTTCCAGCTGTGCTACAAGGAGATGCCCAAACTGCTGCCACTTTATGGTGACTTTGAAAAGAGGCTCAGCCCATCAGTGGGGTATCAGAGGGCGGGCACAGAGCAAGGCCTGTAGACACGGGTTTGTGCCCCCCACCAAGGTGAAACCCTCTGCAAAGGACAGACAGCCTGCTGAGCCACCATGGGGCCACGCTCACTCTCACCTCGGAGATGCAAGGCGAGTGCAGCATTACAGTACAGTGCAGACATCCTGGCCCTCCACCTCCAAATCAAAAGCAATACGAGTTTCGCAGGATGCACTCAGCCCAACCTCAGAAACCTCAAGTCCCAACCTAAGGCAGCAAAGCAGAAGGCCATGCTGCCACTCAGCCCAAGGCAGGAAGGAGCCAGGAAGTTGCAAGACCAGCCCTTTTTCACCAGCATCTAAAAAGTCTTCCTTAAAAGACTTTTTTTTGTACAGACTTGCTTTTAAAGAGCCCATCATACTGCAGCAAAGTCTGCATCACCTCTATGCTACTGCAGGAGCGGAGACGTAAGCTGACGCTGTGTAACAGCTTAGCTATGGCTATTAGAGTTATTTATTGAATGACTACTAAGGAGCAGGACCAAAGGCCCCTCTATTACAGGGCTTGGTGCACTGAATTGCTATTGGAGCAGCAGACACTTTCCCAGCACAGTCCTCCCCATGCCATACATCAGGGGCACGCACAGACCCACAAGCACACACCACTGCCAGCTGCTGCATGGCCATCAGCACAGCTGGTACTGGACCTTGCACTCATCTCCCTCTCCATCTCCTTCCTCTCTCTTCCTGGCAAAGCCAGCAGCTCCTCGCAGTTCCTTGTGCCACCCATCCCAGTTTGTGCAACTCCAGCAGGGTGGTGGTGCTAACATCACGTCACGGGGCTTGGCTCTGTCTGGCTGCACTGGTGACAGCCTCAAAGCTCCTCACCACACAAGGGCTTTAAATTGCCCCCATATGTGCCTTATATTCCAGTTTACTTTATGACCATTGAAATAAGTGACTCCCTCCTCCTCCAAAACAGGAAGCAATGTATAATGGTAGAAAACTTTCAGGCTTTGCCACACGTACATCCGTCCCCCACCCAGGTACTTTTCCCCAGTTTTGGCCAAACCATGCACTGAACCACTGCATCTCAAGACAAAAGCAAGAGAGATGTGTCTATCAGCAGGGTGACAGCCATCTGAGCACCAAGGCAAGAGCAGCATGGTACGGAAACGCGGCTGCAACCACCCCCCCCACCCCACTGCACTGCCTCCCCACAACTGCATTTCAGTATCAGCCTTTTCCTAAAGAGTCCATACAACAGGAGAAAAAACAAAACAAAACATTTTTCTAGCTTTTTTTTTTTTTTTGTACAAAAATAAATGACTAAAACTGCAAACAAATGCTGTGCCTCTAGCAGTTGTGTTTATTTTCATGGGGAAATTTTTCTTGTATCTGTTCCCTGGCCCTAGATAAGACGCTGGGAGGGCTTAGTGGTCAGATGTGCTGTGCCTCTCTGCCTGCAGACAGCTGTGCAGCTTGAAGTTTTCTTAAAGAAACAGCTTAGCTTAATCAAATTTATTAGCCTCGCCTTGTTAATGAACACAGTCAAGCTCCTCTCCCCAAGGGCAAAAAGTACTGGGAAAAAGAAAAGCAGAATTTCAGGCTGCAGGGGTTTTTTTTGTTGTTGTTTTTTCCTCTGTGTGAAGGCTCTGCAGCACAGGGTGAAACCCAGCTGATTTCTATCAGACAAGTATTTCGTGGTGTCTGCAGCTCCTCGTAGCTGTCTGCACTGGGCATGCAAAAGGAGCCGAGTTTTTCCAAAAGGCATGGTGGGCATCTGTACCACTAAGTAATTAATCCCTCCATGAAAATGAATGAAAATAAAAACTGTCTCTCACCTGGATTCTGCACTGAGGTCCTGCACAAAAGCCACAGAGCTCTGGGAAGGACTGGCAGGAGGAGGTGGGGGGTGGCAGGAAGCTGATATTAATTTTTGATTGTTCCCTGGAACAGCCCCAGGGATTGAAAGGGTGCCAGAATTGCCCCATATAGTCCCTGAAGTCCCATTAGGAGGGAAGAATTGGATTCTCAGTAACCATTCCCCTATTTCTTCAGTCAACGAAGCCTGAAGCAGCAACCAAAAGTAGTTTGGCTACTTTCCAACCAAGTGCCCGTTGTGGTAAGACACTCCCATCTTCTCCTGTGGCCCAGTGAATGCTGAATTACAGAGTCCAATGCCTTTAGGAAGCAGCCACCTCTCCCCAACAGCAGCATTTTGCAGAGTCCAGCCCTCTGGATGGAGCAGTGGCCATGCTGAGACCCTGATAGAGCTGGGTTTGCATGACCCATCAGCTGCATAGTCCTGGTCAATTCAGTGATGCCAAGACAGCAAATCTTCTTTCTAGGATTCAAATTCTACCCCAGGCATTTGCAAACCCCTCTGTCTATGAAATTTAAGTGATTTTCCAGCAAGGCAGAGGCTTTGAGAAGTTGTTCTGGTCCTAAGGCGTTAGGGGTTGGGTACAGCAACAAAACAAGGGCACTAGGAGGATGTGAATTTTTTTTTTTTTTAATTTAAATTGGACTACTCCAGGAAGCCCAAATCTTTAAACCAGACCAGCCGGCTCCTGCAGTCAAAGAAACTGCTTTATCAGAGCAGTCCCAACCTTTAAATCTGTGATACAGTCTGATTAGCCCTCAAAACATCTTTCCGTGGAGGCCAGCTGGATACAGGACTGGTTCTCCTAAAGCAGCACGAAGAGAGGATGCCATCCTGTGGCTGTCTGGAAATACTGGCTTCCCATGTAAGCAGTGGTCCCTGACTACCCTTCCTAGTGAAGGAGACAGGCCTGCACTTCAGAGAAACAAGTGCCAATCCAGAAGCTGCTAGTAAGGTACCTTTCTTTTCATTCTAAAATACAAAGCTCAGCCTTCTTAAGAGAACATTCTCTGCTCCCAGGTAAGATTCAGGTTTGGAACGCAATTGAGCTTTGTCTTTGCAGTGTGCACACGAAAGTGCTGCTGGGAGAGATCACATCTGTTACCTTTTAGAGCATAGGTTTGCTTTTAGAGGCTCAGTGTAAAACATTTAATCCTCAAGTCCCCCTCAGTTACCTGCTCTCTGGCTGACCAACAAAGTGAAACCTGCCCTCATCTGGGCAGTGCAGAGGAACCACTTCAGCACAATACTGTCCCCCTCCTTTTCCCATTTCCTTCCTTCATGCTCTTAAGACAGAGTTGCAGCTTCAAGTGCAACTTTCCTCCTTTGCTCATGCCAAGGGGAATGGATAGCCTAATGCATCTCTGCTGAGTCTCTGCCTGCCCACTCATGCAAGTAGCATGGAAATGGAAGTAAAACAAAGAATTTAGACCTCACTTATGAGAGACAACTCCCTGGCTAGCTCACCTCAGCAAAGTCCTGGCAGCCAAAGATCAGTTACCTTCTTTGCAGTATCAAGTAATGAAGAGATCACACAGACCCCCATCCCCATTTTGGAAATTCTAGAGAACTAATTTTCACAGCACTAGTTTTTCCACATTGCTCTGCAATGCTACAGGCCTGGGTATTGCTCCACCTCTGTAAATTAAGCTTAGTTCAAATTGAGAAAGAATAATAATTCTGACACTCAAAGCAAGGAAGACAGAAATATTTTAAGACCTCCTTTATCTGCAATTTTACTGCTTCTTCAGAGTCTGAGGACTCTTTAAAATGTATTAGTCAGCTTAGCACTGGGATAGAAAAAGCCATTAAAGCATAGGACAATCATGTTCCAATCTGCTCAGACAAGCAAGCCTTTAAGTAAGCATCATTTGGTGAGTTCCTATTTCTCCCCTGCATGAGGCTGGTGGTCCAGAATTTAAATATCTGCTCAGAGCGAGAAAGCAAGACTTTTTTTTTTTTTTCCTCAGACCATAAAGAAAACAGCTAAATGTGAAAACAGCTACTGGAGCCTACCTGAATCTCCAGACACCCTGAAAGAAAAGCCTAAGGGAGAGTGTGCAGGTCCATTTAGTTCTGTGATGCTAATTTTCGGGCTGGATGACAAACATTACCTTTTCAACATCGCTATCTATCTACACTGCTAATGAAAAAGCAGAGGCTGGCAGATGGGATGGTCACATGGAGAATTTTCTTCACAGTCTGTATCGAGCAAGGATTATACAGAGGTTTGTGATTGTGAGACGCTCGGAGGAGAGTAGCCCTTACATTTACCTTCTTTGGGGCATCACCTGGGAGTGTGAACATTCCTTTACTGCATGTCTCCTCAGGCTTTTCTTTGGCTGGGAAATAAGAGGAAACAAGCTAAATATATATCAGGATATTACCCTGGAAAGATGTTGTATTGGAGGTTGAGGAACCCAGACTACAGGCTTTGCTTGCATTAATGAGGCCCGTTGTCAGCAGCTTGACAACATTTCCCAAATCTCAGTGCCTTGACTGGAGAAAAAGAAAGAAGTGCTGCACTCCAAATGATGAGGGGAACGGAAAAAGAGAACCACTGACCAAGAGATGAGGGAGAAAACAGTCTCAGAAAAGCTCTCTAATGTAAATCAGAAAGATTTCATTTTTCAGTGAGATCAAAATGAAGTTCTTTGAAGTCTGAACTGGACAGAAGTCAGAAGGACAAAAATCAGGAGTCAGCAAGCTGGGTTTTGAGAAACAATAACATGTTAAAGCTTGTTTTACGAACAATTCATAAAAGTTGCACACATTGGATCAAGCAGGTCCTTGTCACGTTTAACCAGGAAAGCTACAAGTGGCATGCCGCCCACAGGTCCCTTCCCAGTCTCTGACAGAGCACCCACCAGGACCTCCAAAGGCTGGAAACAGGCTGGGCTGCAGATTCAGAGACTTCTGGGTCCAAGCTGGGTCAGCAGCTGCTTCCAAAGTAGCGGAGGAAGTCATCCAAACCTAATTTTGTTAAGAAATACCAAATCATAATCTTTGGGTGCTGTCACGCACAGAGGACAATTTAAAATCTGATCTGCCTCGTTTTTCCTGGTAGAGATCTCTTCTTCCTTGCCAAGACTGACTCGTTACTAGAAGACTGAGGACGAATCTTCATCTCAGTAAAAGGAATGGAGAACTCATGGCCCTTCCATGGCTCCCAATTCACCCCCTGCAAAAAGATCATATAATTTCTTTTAGTAAAATACTTAGACCAGGTGTTTGGAGTCTGCCACTGCCCCTTCTAATGCCATTTCATCTTTCCACAAACAGAGACGCTGTTTTCCACCAGATTTTTTTTTAAACCATAACCACAGTCAGTATTCTAGATGCTCCTAATACAAAACTAAATCTCTATCCATACAATCTGGAGCTCAACAGGACTGTGTTATCTTCCAGCACAAATCAGGCTGTACAATGAGATGTAAACAAGGAACACACTGAAAGCATCCGACTTCTTTTCCCTGTTCTTCTCTGAAATTAAGACAGCTCCACCTTAGGTGTCTCTGTCCACCACAAGAAACAGGTTGTGAGCTTAAGCCCTTCAGATTCTAGAATCCATGAGTTTCCTTATGGGTCATTATCCTTTAAAACAAAATGAGTTCAAATAGCATGGGCAACCTGTCCTGCTGCAGCTCCTCCCTCCATATGTTTTTCCCAGGCTAGAGAGAAGAGCTGACAGTCAAAGCTCTGCCACTCACCTCACTGTGCTTGCTCTCCCCATATTTCCCATTGAGGTTGGCCAAGTGGCAGTTCTTGTACCACCACGCACCATGGTGCGTCAGAGCACAGTTGCTGAGAGCCACATCATTGTCTCTGTCCCACGTTGTGAACTTCCAGCCATTGTGGTAAGTCATTGCATCTCCTAAGAGAAAGGATTACAGACATGGGTAAGAGTAAGGGTGTGCAGTGGCTCAGCCCGAGCATTTCATACGGCCTTCGTTAGGCAGAACACAGAAGACCTGTCAGGAAAAAAGCAACGGCACTCAATAGATGTAGAAAATAATTTCAAATTGGCTGCTAGAGGGCACGTTCATGGACTGCATCCTCTGGGCCTGAAGATCTCAATCTCAGGGCAGTAGGGTAACAAAGGATAAGTGGAAGACTATGGACACAATAGCAGTGGTAAGGATTTACTAGTGGCAGAAGCCAGCACCAGGACTACTACTGCTTAGCAAAGTCTCCTTCTGAACAAAAGCCACTTTCTTTGCACTTCTCAGCTGGGGAGCCCCAGAAGTTGCTCCTCCGTGAATTGATAATCTCATGAAAATGCTTCAGGTCTGCCTGTTCAGCTGTGGTGTTTCAATGGGTCATAGAGCAGCTCTCTTCTCTGTGAAAGAACAGCTTAATCGTGTCCTCAGCAGAAGACAAGTCTGGAGGGGTACATCTCCTCAGTCCTCCTGGGAAATACAGAGTTCTCTCTTCAAAAGGAGGGACATGCAATCTAACTTGAACTAAGGAGCTCCCACACTACAGGTAAAACAAATACTTAAATCCCAGCACTTGCTCCCCTGCATGGCACAGACAGAGCAAGTCTCAGGCACTCCTCACCAGCATTGCCTCTGTAATTCCCCACGGACAGCCTGTATCTCTCCCTGCTCGAGGCAACCTGGAAGAAGTCATAGACAGCATAGGCAGACTCGTTGGCTGTCCGCAGATCCACCCGCAGCTCATAGTGGATGGGGCTGCTGCTTGTGAGATTGTGCAGCTGGTCAAGACCTAGAAAGAAGGAAACTACTGTTAAAAGGGAAAGGCCTGTTCACCTTTGCAGTCCTGGAATCTCACCCCGTGGCCATTTTGGTTCGATCAGCTATTTCCTGCCTGCCTCCCATATTGCTTGATGCTGTCATGACATTGTGCCAAGTTTATGCTGTCTTATCCCATTTTCTGGCAAGAGATAGCAATGTCAGAAAAAAAGAAAAACAAAAAACAGTTTAAAGCAGCACAGGACAGACTGTGCAACAGTATTTTTCCAAGAACATTCAAAGACTCTTGCCCCAAAGACCTTGGCTTATTTAGGGCTGGATTCTCTGATGCAAGCAGTTATCTAACAGAAAAAAACTGAGCACACTATGTTTTGTGTAATAGCTTAGACTGTGCATTTTCATTAACACAATGTCTTTATTTCTCCTTGCATAGGAGCATGTATGCCTGCAATAAATATTTCCTCAGTTTGCCTTGTTCTGGGACTGTTATAAATACCAAAGATGCCAGTGGAAAGACTTAGCTGGCCTTCAGAGATACTCATGGCTTAAATGGCACTTCTAAGAAAGACATAACAGCTGACAAGTCAGGACTGCAGACTCAGTCTATTTCAGCATTTAGACGCCTCTACAAAGCTGATCTTCAGCAGTCACACCCTTGTACTGTACCAAGCCAAAATTCCCCAGTGGGATCTCCAAAGCCTTCCACATAATTTTTCCAGCGTTTGTAGAAATCCAGTTCACCACTGCTCCGCCTCTGAAACACCTGCAAGGCAAGGATTGCTGAGTGAGAGCTCACGGCAGATATTGGAGAGTCAAGGAAGGTGGGGGTGAAAAATCCTCATCCTGATCCAAGTACAGGCAGAAAGGTGAATTGTTTGGGAACAGATGCATCTAGTTAAAAGGTATGCTGCAACTGAGCAGGATACATTACCATTTTCTGATTGCACAGAAGCACCTGGGGTGAGTACTTTGTAGTGCGAATTTTGCACTTTTCCACAAATGCCTGAGGGCAGCAAAAATCCCAGTGTGATCTCAGCACCTGGACAAGTCAGGCTTAGGGTCAAAACCCACAGAGACACCTAGGTATCTAAATTTCACCAGAATCCGTGGGCCACAGGCAGTAACACACAATTTGTTTCAGTGGATCACTGAAAATAAAAGGTAAAGAAGTGAATAAAGATATTTTTATTTGTTTGTGTATGGAGTCAGCTATCAGAGAATCTCAGATTCGTTATCTCACCCTTATACAAATTCACAACCTCAAAGCGTCTGTGTTTCTGCCTCCAGCTGCTCTCCATCCAGGGGCATGCTCACAGTTCTAGCATTTAAAATATGATCATCAGCTGAACTGCATTAACTGTCCATACTTGTAGCCTTTCACAGTGGTCAAGATGAGATAACAGAGCTTAGTTCATTCATTACAAAAGACTTTTAAGTTGCTCTACCTTGCCTTGCACTTTCATAGAAAACTCGTGTGCCCAGCTAGCAAGAAGTAACGTCAAACTGGCATTGCCTCAGTCAGGAATAATATAAGCCTTGAGTCACATTCATGACTAAGCAATCAAAGTTCAGCATCCCCTTGTTTCTGAGCCATCCAGCCTTCCACAGTATTCCTGCTCTCGGTCTGAAAGGGTACAACAGCATCCGCTCCCTTCCTAAAACATGCTCCTCCATCACAGGAGGAGCTGAAATACAGCACAGTAGACCAAAAGGAACATCAGCTAAGCCCATTACCAGGTTCACTTGATGATGCTCATTAAAAAAAATTTAAAAAGTAGCAGAGAATCACTCACTATCCACCCGCCTCCATCAGTGGTCATGTCACAGTACACCTGCATGGGCCTGCTGCCATTGCCATTGAGATAAATGGTGTACAGGCCGCTGGAGATGTTTCCATTCTGCTGCATCTGGGCACAGTCCGCAGGGTACGGGTAGAGGGAGCTAACTGGGAGAAGAGAGAGCAAAGCTGGAGGAGCCATCTCACACCCCTAGGAATCTCTTATGGACAACAGTACTGGAAGAGAAGTAAAGAAAGCACCCAGCTGCATCAGCAGGTTGGCAGCCTTCCCCACTGCTCGGAAGCTGAAACATAGATGGGGTCACCAGAGGCTGCAGGAGATGCTGCCTTGGGTCACAGTGAGAGCAGGAAGAGAAACCCTGGTTTGTGAAAGTGGGAACGCCAGTAAAAAGGCATTTTATCCGCATCTCACAACCTACCCACAATTGGCAGCCTCTGTGAGGACCAGCTCAGTATAAGAGGCACCCACATCAAGGCATGAGAATATTTGACTTGCTGGCATCCAGGCATACATTTCCTGATCTCTGGAAACAACCAGGCAGCTACTCAGGACCACAACAGTACTTACACAACTGCTGGCCTGTCATTACTGTGACAGTGCTGAAAAATCCCTAGCCCGTTATCTTCTCTCCTGCCCAATGGCAACTCACCAGGAGGCTTTGCCCTGCACTTGACCAGCAGGGTTTGGCAGAAGCATTGACCAGTGTGGGCAATTTCCTCTTGCACTATCCTGTTGGGATTCCAAAGCTCTGGACAGTGTGGCTTAGAACAGAACCCAGCCAGAAGACAAGTTTTCAACTCACTAAACAATTTGCTTCTGATCACATTGTTTCCCAGAACAGGAATTCCTTCTCAGACCTCAACCATAAAGACACAACAGCTGCAGAGCCCACGGAGCAAGTGCAACACTCAAGACCAAATCCTACCTGTTGAGAAGGTACCGACTGTCTTTCTGCTCTGGTGATCTCCCTTATAGGCCATCACAAACACAGTGTACTTTGTTCCTTGTTCCAGTCCTTCCAGCACAAACTGTTGTTCCCTAGGACCCAGCTGCACTTCCTGCCAAATAAAACAGACTGAAGATCAACCCAACTCTGTACAACACTTAGCTTTTCTGGACCACAGTGCCTCACACTCAGTAACTATTTATAGGCTTTTCTTGTAGGAGTTCAGATAGGCATACACTAGCTGCATATCTTTAAGACATGAAATCCATTTCCTCAGGAGAAAGGTTTGATGCAGGGTCTCAATAAACACTGTTAAAATACTGAAGACACTGTGTCCCTGGTTAATGCTGCTTTTTCATGTAGTAACAAGTTAGAAAAGGAAAGTGAAGCAGTAAACTTGTTCTCTGCGTCCTGAAGATCTGCTGGAAAGTGGTATCCACTGTCTCAGAGTCTCTCCACAGCTTCTACTCATAACAGTAGCACTTTTCCTCAGGCTCTGCCTCCCCAGGCTAATAATAGCATAGATTCCACCTCAAAATTATTTACCTGTGGTCCATATACCCACAAGATTCAAATGTCAGAGCCTATAACCATAAGGGTGATGTCAGTGAGTTCTGCAGGGCTGAGGAATTCACTGTACCTTGCTGGTGCCATTTTGACCCCGGTAGGTCAGAGTGTAGCCATCAATCTGTGCTGCAGGAGGAGCCCAGGTAACTACACCAGTAGTCTGAGTCACATCAGATACATGGAGGTTCCTGGGAGGATCAATCTCTATTGAAAAAGAAAAGAAAATTCAAGTCCCTCTGCATAAAAGAAATACAGCAATTCCTGTGCTAAACTTGGGCTGAGCTTTGCAATGCCTCATCCTGTGAACTGGAAACTACGGAAGTCACTCAGTGAAGTTTGCAAGCAACAGAAGCTTACAGCAACCATGGCAAGATCATCACAGATTTGGTTTGTGGTTTTGTGAGCCCTGCAACTGGCTCAGCTGTATAGAGACTCCCAGGGGCTGAAAGCTCCCGATTCATCTGTCTGAGAAGTCTGACAATTATTTTTAAGCAACACTAATTCACAGCAGGTGTCAAAAAGCATCTGTCTTACAAGATACCCATAACAAGGCTCCAGTGCTTTCCCTCGTGATAAAACCAAATTGCTAAGCTCATCTGGAAGTAAAAACAATGGAAGCAGCCTCTCTCAAATTTTCATCCTATGCTTGCTATTCTGGTGTTTTGGGAACGTCTTAGAGAAAACAACTTAAGCAGTAGGACTGTGTGGCCTTCCAAATTTTAGAAAGAAGGCATTTGGTGGGCAGTGCTAGCCTTGAGGGAAGAGTGCTCCAGCCCTGAAGAATGCCTGAGTTTATAGCAAACTAGAACTGAATAATTCAGAACACTTTCCTGTTCTTCCATGGACCTCCATGGGAGGTGACAAGCATGCCACTTAGCTTGCTCATTGATTCAGTTCTTCTCTGTATAAGCCAAGCAATAACACTTCTCAGATCTTGGAGAGCGTTATGAGAACAATCATAACAGTGATTATAATGCAACAATGAAATATTACAAGTTATGAAAAGGCCACAGAGGAAAACAAGGCCAATACTTTGGCCTTTATTAGATAAACAAGAAGAATAGAACAGTACAGCTTCTCTACATTCCTTGAGTATGGGGCTACTGCTTAAAAAAAAGACATAAAAACAGAAAAGAAAAAAAAAGAAATCAAAACACCAGATAAATTGAATCAACAAAGACATTAACTCTTAAGTTGACAGAATGTGCTGCTTAAAAGTTGAGTTATTCATTATAAATGAAATCCACCATTCACTGAGGCAAGCATTTGTTTGTTATTAATCAACTCCTACTTCATACAAGAGACCACTACACAACTGCTTTAAATTAATGACTCCATTCTTATTACACGTGTAATAATGTGTTACTCATTACATGTGTACCACTCCATGGACAGAAGAGGGAGCTAAAAGGTGCCAAATCCAACACGAGAAGCAAGTGCTGGGAAGCCTCCAGGCAGGACTTGAATTTTACAGCACTGTTCCTGCAGCTTCCCCAGGTGAAGGATATAACTGCAGAATAGCTCCCTGCTACAGCATATTTTAGGAATGTTAGTGAGTAAGCAGCCATCACGTAGAGTTAAAAACGTGTTTGTTTTTTTTCAGGAGTTAGATTATTTTACCAGAGGTGTCACATTTTTTTTTGAAAAACACCACCAAGATGGGGGAGAGGGGGGGAGGGAAAGAAAAAAAAGAAAAAGCATTTTTTAATGGGCACGGATATTTCTAAAACACCCCTACTGAAGCTAAATGCATTCCCTCTCTGGGCAGTTTCAATTCATGTGAAATTTCCAGGTGCATCCATTTTCATTCTAGTTGAAAAAAAAAACCACTTCAATTTACTTAAATTTTCCTTAAATTTTTCAGTTAAAGACAGGCTTAGACACTTGGCCTTAAGAGATATCCTTTTATTTCCACGTGCTGCCCTTGCCCTCTGCAAGCACTGGGGATCTGTCTGGCACCTTGCCCTGAGTTCAAGCTCTATCTTTTCTATCTCACACCAGCTTGACTCAGAAACTAAGAAAAAGCACATTAGCAAGGCCAACAGATATGGAGTGACCCTGAAATATTGCCAGAACACCATCATCCTTATAGCTGATTGAACAAGATAGATTTAAGCCTGTTTTTAAGTCTCCTAGGACAGTCTAAGGTCATGAGTCAAGCCATTATTTTTTAACTGCCTCCGAGTCTAAGGTGGTTTAACTTTGGTTGTTAAATGTCTGTTACTGTTACACTTGATAGCAGCATACAAAGCAGTGCATGCTTTTGATTAAGAAGTGAAATAAGCTGTGTACTCAGCTCTCACCATTCTGTGTTCTGACATCTGTCTCTTCTACAGCAGCCTCTAATAGCAGTTTCTGTTATGTCAGGCTATAATCATGCACTTATCTCCAGAACGTATTTACCACAGTAGATCTTCATTACCCAGTAATGCAAAGAGAGATCGTGGAAATGTAAATTAACAAACGAGTGGGGTTCTTCTACTCTGCTTCTCTTCTCCCCACAGTTACCTGTCAGCGCATCAGTGCTTGCCCTCTTGCTCTGCGTGCTTCCCAGCTCTGCCCAGAGATGAATGGTGTACTTCATGCCTGCTTTCAGTCCTGTCAGAGTTGTAACGCTCTCAGCCTTTCCCACTTCTATTTCCTTGGTGCCCCCATCAGCAGAAGTGTAGCTCACGATATACCTATCTATGGGAGCTCGGACGCTATCCCAGGAGATTGTGGCTGAGTCTTCTGTCACTTGGTCAGTTACCAGATTCTTTGGGCTGTCCAATTCTAAAAAGTCAAGTGCAAAGTACGAAGTATAAGGAACTAAAACACACACATGTTGCTCTTAAAAGCTTTAGCTTTCTATAGCCCCATGATATAGATGATGGACACCGTGTCTGCCTTCAAGCTAATCAGGATAGTGAGACCAGCAACCTTCTCTCTTTTCCTCATTTCTAGAAAGCTGCCAGGCAGCCAGTTTTCAGCCTAATTAAGCATCCAGATCCTGCAAGCAACAGCCTTCATGACATGAAGTGAATTACTGATACTTGAGAGACTTATTCTGGGCTCAAAAAATTCTTCACCCTCTTGGGTTATGGAAGATGAGTAAAGTGGGGCTGTCTCCTTCCAAGCCTTGATTCACTGGCTAATGCCATTCTTATCAGTGGCACATAATTTTAAGTAGGATTCAACAGTAGTATTCAGTAGTATTCAACAGTACTGTGGAACAACACTCAGTCACACCTACAGAGCTCAGCATATCTGGAGACCAAAACCAGCACATATGGCTGGTAAGTGAGGGCTACAATGCTTTAGCAAAGCATAATGAAGCTCATACTAGTCTGACAGTTTCTAAATCAGTTTTTAGTTCCTGCAAGCAATTAAAATCTTTTCTCTTGACTTGAGAGAAGGCAGCATTTCTACCTGAAGCTTGAAGTGCCTGTAGTATGAATGTTTCCACATCATAAGCAAGCACAAGATAAATTGCTGTCTAATACAGGCTGCAACAGAAGGAAGCAGGCAGGGTAGAAACAGATCACCTTCACAACATAGGACAGAACCATAAGGATTCTTCTAGAATACCTGTCACTGCCTCAGTGCTGGTTCTCTTGCTCTGCTGCACTCCCTTCTCTGCCCAGAGGTAGATGACATATTCAGTGCCAGGTTTCAGTCCTACCAGAGTTGTGGCAGTCTTGTTCTTCCCCACTTCTATCTCCTCAGTATCACCATCGGCAGAGGTGTAATTCACCACGTACTTATCTATGAGAGCCAGAACTCTGTCCCAGGAGATGGTGACTGTGTCCTCTGTCACTTGATCAGTTACCAGGTGAGTGGGGCTGTCAATTTCTGCAGAGAAGAAAAAGACAAGAATGCAAGATGTCACAATCAGGCTGGGTTGTGACACCACAAGACTCCTTCCCCTCTGGGGCTGGTTTCTCTCTTTATTTTTTTTTTTTTATTATCATTATTATTTTTTTTTTAAGAGACCCAAGTACTCTTTTACTCATTTCTCTTCAGCAAGTCCCTGATTAAGAGCATGGGTCTTGTAAATGCTTACAACTGCTTGTAATGGATACACTCATCTTCACAATGTTATAAGCCAACAACAGGCAGAGAACTCTATCATCTTTACCAGGACTGACCACAGAAGAGAGAACAAAATGCTAAGAACAACTGAGGAACTTGGACAAATTATCCTGTTGCAAGAAAAAAAAAAAAAAATCCTGCACGCTGTTACTCTGCACATCAAGTTGCCCATCTGCAAAAAGGAACTGAGCATTTACTTAACCCTTGAAAAAGGATAAACCAACAAACCAAACTAAGACCAGACAAATACATGATTGATGCGAGAATGGAATAGCATCATTTTCACAGGTGAAGACCACTAACACAATTAGCAATCACCATGCAGCCTATCTGTAGTACATACTGGTAATTATGATCTCTCTGTGATAAAGTTGAATGGGCTTCACAGCAAGATGCTTTAACCCAAAGATTGTATCTCTTAAGCTTGAATTTCCCTTTGTCACAAAAATGAGAGACTTATTCAATGTTAAGGCAAAAACCCAGTCTGTAGCTTATACACTCAACCTACTGCCCTCTTACCTGTCACAGCCTCAGTGCTGGCCTTCTTGCTCTGTTGTTCTCCCTTTTCTGCCCAGATGTGAATAACATACTCCATGCCTGGCTTCAGTCCTGCCAAGGTGGTGATATTCTTGTCTTTCTCCACTTCTCTCTCCTCTGTATCCCCATCAGCTGAGGTGTAATTCACTCTGTATCTGTCTATTAAAGCCTGGACTTTGTTCCAGGAAACTGTGATTGCATTTTCTGTCACTTGATCAGTCAACAGTTTAGTGGGGCTGTCAATCTCTGTAAGTAAAATTCTTTGTTAGAAGTTTCAGCATAGCACTGTGGTTATCACAATGGTCTGAAGACACAGACAACATAAGTTTTGTAGGCAGAGGCAGTATATTTTATTAGACTAACATATATTTTGAAAAACAGATGAGCTTTGGGAAATTATTCTGTGCCCAAAGATCTGGAAAGAGTTTGTATGCACAAAGACATTTGTAGGTAGTCAATAGAATCTGCTCCTGCACGACCATGTGAGAATACATCAGGCTAGATTATAAAAAATGAACAAAGCAGTGCTTTGAGGGGTTTCCCAAAAGAGCTGCAGATGCTGCTCACATGCCCTTACAACTGAGGATCTCTATCACCACATGACTGTCCTGTTAAGGAGATTTGATTCCCCACACAATTTCTACCTTATGCCATGAATACGAATATATTTCATTTTTCCTTTTTAACAAACACTGTCACGATTGACTCTGCAACACTTCTATGATCTCACTTTGCTACTGGGCAAGGTCACAAGAACATCTTGGAGGTGGTTGATGGTACTTTTAAGACATTTTTAATGTATCACAGTTCTAAGGCTTTAGCATTCATTGTGTTTAACCATTCTCTGTACTGACAAAACTGGTGCCAAGCCATAGTGTCTCCACACAACAGGACTCACACAAAGAACTTTCTGCTAAGCTGGAGACTTATCAGTCACACTGATAAGAATTAAATGAATTTGACTTGCTAAACTTGTGCAATACAGAAGCTGTACTGAAACAAGTAAAATTAATAAAGGTGTTTGAAATTCTGACCCATTTTACTCCTGCTGCCACTGCAACTTACCTGTCAGAGCTCTGGTGCTGGCTTTCTTGCTCTTGTGGGGTCCCTTCTCTGCCCAGATATGGATGGTGTATTCCATGCCTGGCTTCAGATTCAATAAGGTGATGATGCTGTTTTCACTGCCTACCTCTGTTTCCCGGGTGTCTCCATCAGCTGAGGTGTATCTCACCATGTACCTGTCTATGGGAGCCTGAACTTTATTCCATGAGACAGTGGCTGTGTCTTCCGTCACTCGATCTGTCACCACATTGGTTGGGCTATCAATTCCTGAGAACAGCATTTTGAAATGCAGGATTAGGAAAGTCCATATAAATTAAACCACTACAATACTTCTCACGGCATGAGAAACTGAAATTTCTTCAAGATTCCTTTTGTAATATAATGAATAGCTCAAAAATGTTTTGCCATATTTTTGAAGAGCCTGAAGCACCAATGAACCAACAGGTTTTCCAGACTTGTTTAAACATTCAGCATGCACTACTGTTCAGTTCACAGTCTAATAAACAGAAAAATGATGCTGCAGCCAGGGAATACAGGAAGGAAGAATTTACCCTCTTCCTTACTGTTCCTAGGCTCAGGAGCCAAACAAATCACTAGCAGCTAACAGCTGCAAAGCAGTCAGCAGCAGCAGCAGCCATACCTAGATTGGAAATCATGTGTACATGGTTTCAGTGAGGTCATCTTGTCAATCATCTGGTTAGGGAACTCAACCAGCAGAACCTCCTGAGCTCATTTCAGATTAAGAGTAAAGTAGGTTTAAAAATCAAGGCTAGCTTTAGTGTTTAATAAACAACAGCTTTACAGTGTTTAAGAAACAAGCTTAAATGAGGTAATAGCAGCCCTGACAGCAGTATGCATGAAGAAACAGTAAACTGAGTACCTTTCACATTGTGACCTTGACAGAATTGTCCCCAAAATCTGTAGTAAAATCATTACCATAAAAGAAACATTCCACCTACCTGTCCTGCCACTCACTGAGGATGGTTTACCCTCTGTATCATCCTTCACAGGTATGACAGTAACCTCATACTCCATGCCAGGTTTTAGGCCTGTAATCAGAAGGTAATTTTTCTTAAAAGCTGTTTTGTTTAGTCTCCCCAGTTCTAGGTTTGTAGCAGAGAAGCATTTAAAAATGTAGATATCTATCTAAACTTCCTCTTGTCTTGAGAATGCCTTGGAAGCATTCTTGGTCCAGTCTTGTCATTAGGGTCCATATTAACTATAGCGAGGATTTCTGCAACATTGGTATTTCCAGTTCTGAAATAAAAGAATATGCTTTATTTTGTAACAAGGATAGAATTAAAGCTGTCAGTCTTGAAAGCTGCTATCCACAGTGCACAGAAAATTTCTCCCTGTTGAAGGACTCCCAGCAGATCTCATCCTGGCATACAGTGGCCTCAAGGTGAAGGAGAACACAACAGAGAAGAATCATCTCAGAACTGTGATAAAGAAAATCACTTGTACCATCTCTCCCTGCCCAATATGGAATAATCACAAGTACTCACCAGTCATGATGTGTCTGCTCTTGGGGTCACTGCTTTTGGGCACCATGACCTGCTTCTCATCCATGCCCACCAGGGATCTGAATTTCAGCTTGTAATAATCCACATCTGTTGGTGGGTTCTCCCACTCTACTTCCAGGGAATACTCCATCTCCTCCGTCACCCAGATGGCACTGAGTGCAGATGGGACTGGGAAGGACAGAAAAGCATGCCAGGAAAAAGCAGCACAACCATCAAAAGGTGAATATAAGATAGGAAGTTGCTGAACAGACCTTCTCCCTCCTCAGATGACTGCTCTGAGACCTAAGCCATTTTCCTCAGCCAAACTTAAGATTTAAGTGAGTATGGCACAACCACTATCTCAACAGGAGTCGTCTCATCCACAAAAACACTCTGATTCAGGAGTTCTCTGGCTCTCAGCTCTCAACCTGTTATGCTAGAGCTAAGAAAAAATGTCAAAATAACCGGACTTTTCCATGTTTTTACCAAGTGCAGGCAGACAGCATGCTACCAGCTGCTAATAAAATGACATTCACTTATAGAGAGTCTGCTTCAAATTCAGTCTTTCCACACCCAGCTCGCTGTTCTCAGTAGCATCTGATTCATTCAGTCCTAGGAGGAGACTATGAGGAAAGTTTGCTACTGAAGGCATGTCTGGCAAGTGACACTTAGAAAAGATGCCCTCCCTACTTTGAAGTTCCTCCTTCATCCAGTCAAACAGTGCACTACTCTTAATAACATGCTGGCTTTTGGTATGCTTCCTGCAGTGGGCAACATCATTGATTCCCTGGAATTCAGAAGTGTCTATGCCAGTCAGATTTGGAAAAGATAAAAGGAGACACAGGAAATTTGCAATGCATTCAGTTCCAGAAATACAGATCTATAAGTAGATTCTCCAAAAGAGAGCAATACCAAAAAAAATGAGATAAGATCAGAAAGAGGTACTGCTCTCCAGCATTCAGACAGGATCTTGCAAGCTCCAATCTTACAAAGCCAAACCATTTACTCTGTTTGCTTAAATCTAACATGAAAGACCTACAGATTTCAAATCTGAAAGAAAGGTCTGTCCATTCCTACCTGTACTTGCTTGTAGTTGCACGGGCTCACTGGCAATCCCCTTCTTCACATGACGAAGTGTGACATTGTATGTGGTGCTAGGATGGAGACCTGTAATCTCATAGCTGTGCTGCTCTTTGGGCACATGGACTTGTTTCTCCAGTGTCTCATGCCCCACTGGGTAATAGCTGATGAGGTAATTATCCACATCAATCATTTGATTCCAGCTGACAACCATGGAATCCTCTGTAGCATTCAGCAGCTGCAAGTTTTGAGGAGCAAGCACTAGAAGAAAAACAAACAGAAATAACGCAATGAGGATGATGGGTTACAATCTAGTCCAGGACTCAGTGAAGTCACAAGGATTCTATTTCAGCAGGCTGCAGCAGAAGACAACTTGTTGCTCTGTGAATGGATGAAAAGGCTATCATACAGAAGTTCTTTGCATACGGACAACTATAGTTCCACTAAGAAGTGCAAACTGAGACCACCAGGCTCTGTAGAGACACAAGCCCATTCAGAGTCCATCTGCAAAGCAAACATTCACCTCCTTGTCAATCTAAGTGAAAAAGTTGCTATTTTATTATTCCTTTTATGGAGTGAAAAGTAACTCCTGGAGAGTACCAAGTCCAGGAGATGGAAAGGGAAGCTCCTGGCCTGAAGCAAAAGGGTTCCCACAGACCCTACTAACGTGAATTAGGAGGACAGGTGGCTGTGGGCCATGCCACAAGTCCTTCTTGGGCTCTGCTCGTGCTCATTAATCCCTCTCCAACAGGTAGCTTCTCCTCCAGAAGCAGACTAAGGCCATAATGGAATACATGAGCAGGTACTGAACAGCACATTCATAGATTCAGTGATGGCTCATGGGACTTGTCAAGAATCTTATTCTGCTGAGACTAGCCAGCTCTGCTTTGTTTTCTTTCCCGTTTTTCTGATTATAGCATCAAAACACAGAGTTCCTCATTAGATCCATGTAATGCTGAAATACCAAAAAAACACAAACTTCTAAGGATATTGTCATTTGAAATTCCTGTTTTATTCATCTACAAATATCCCACAACACTATCTTTGAGCAGCCAGTAAACTGAAACTCAAGAAAGAGCACAAGTCAGTATCTGCTATTCAGCATGCCCTTCTCATCAATTTTCCTTTGCAAGGAATTGCAAGCGCTAATTATACTGTTGCGTGCTTGGGAATAAGTTCTAGATGATCAGACATGCCAGTTACCATGGCAACACACAACAAGATGCTTTTTCATTATCTGAGATACATTAAAAACAAACAAACAGAAAGAACAGTGCTCGATTTAAGTTCCCAGGTTACAAGAATCTAATCAAATGGAACAGAAAAGGAGAAAAGGCAATGGGGCAGCTATAGAAAGGGGACAACTTGGCTACAGGTGCTGACACAAGAAGCATTTGATTGTGGACTTAAAACACTTTTTAACTGGGAGCGAAAGCCTATTGTTAGGAACAGCAGCAAAATAGATTGTGCAATATACACTAGCTCTGCAGTGCTTGCTCACTTGTATACTCAGAATAGAGGCCCCTTTCACAGCCTATAAAACAGCTGCAGGTGCTGCGTAAGGAAGATGACCCAAGGATGGAGCCAGCCAGCCCCTTAGTGAGGCTGCACTGAGAAACAGTTCTCTTCTTGCTACCTCTGTAAAGGTGCTGGCCTGAGCTGCAAATCCCAGTCTGCTGAAAGGACAGGAGAGTGCTGCAGCCATAAAGAAAAATGAGTAGTGAGGAATGGATAGCAGGAGTGAAACTTCCATGTGCAGCTCTTGTTTCAGTGAAGAATGTGAGCTAGTAGGCTGTATAAACGGTGAGCCTCTAAGCAGACAGGTCAAGTCTGAGAGGTGAGGGATGACAGGGAGCATTAAAGACTTGCCAGTAAGGTCACTGCAAACCCCTACTGAGCACCAGCTGCTGCTCAGTGTGTGGTTGTTACTTACCTCTCCTTTCTGAGCAGCTGTGAAAGATTAGACTAAGCACAGAAAGCAAGGTGGCTTTCAGGGCACAAGGTTGAGGGTTAAGGCCTGGAGTATCAGCTTGTGGTTATAGGGAGATTATAGGTTTTTCAGAATATATACCAAGCCATCCAGCATTTAAGCAGAGACTGTTGGATGCACACTTCAAAGTGAGCTCAGTCCACCTTCTCAGGCAAATCCTTCTGCCTCATAATAGAGTATTGTGAGAGTTTCCTAAAGCCCTTGCTTTCAAAGGGTGGTTACTTAATGGCTTTACGCATCTTTCATCTAACAAGTTTTTATCAAATCAACTACTTTATCAGCAAGCAGCACACACTACAGCAGCTATAATTTCACCTTTTATTATCTCACTTATATGTCAAGAAACAGATTTAAAGTTCCATCTTTAATTACAGGATCTGTACTTTGTTAAGCTCTCTCCTTCAGCCACTATCCACATGTATGTGCTAGCTTTGCCTTAACCTGTGTTTTCCTATTCTCTCGATCCAGAAACACTTTCCAGGCAATTCTTGAAGACATGGGACACTCACAGCCATCCCTGAGTACAGTCCCAACAGGAACTCAGAAGGGACTTTGGTGATTCCAGGCCTGGTTTGCCCAGCACTTCCTCAAGAGACAAAAGGGAAATGCAGAATGAAAGTAAGAAGGGAGAAATAACTCACAAGCATATCTTACCCTGGGAGCAGTCAGGGCCAAAGAACCCCTCATGGCAGTAGCACTCTCCTGTGTCACAGAACCCATTGCCACTGCAGTCCCCGGGACATCGTTTCTCGCTGCAGTCCTCTCCGATGAACTCCTCATAGCACAGGCAGACCCCTTTAGCTGTGTCACAGATCCCATTGCCGCTGCAGTTCTCAGGGCAGAGCTGCTGGCTGCAGTCCTCACTGAAATAAGGCTCATCACAGATACACCTCCCGCCATCACAGCGCCCGTGGCCACTGCAGAGGTTGGGGCAGGTGGGGCGGGAGCAGTCACTGCCCTCCCAGCCCTCTGCACACTTACAGCTGCAGGTCTCATAGAGGAACATCCCGTGACTGCTGCAGTGCGTGACACCTGGCCACAGCAGCACCACGATGCACAACAGCAAGGGTGATGCACAGAGAGAAAGAAAAAAAAAAGGAAACAAACTGAGGAACAGATCGATGAGAAGGTGAGTTCAAAGTCATTAAATTATGACTATATATGGGCTGAAGAAGAGCTGAAGATGACACAACCACATGCCCCTGGTCCAAAGAGGGTCCTGCTCCCTCTTGTCTTTCCCAGTGCATTTGTCTGGAGTCAGCAGGAATGCAAAAATCCACTAACACACCAATCAATTAGAAGGCTTTCCACAGCCTCTAAGCTGAGTTGTAATTTAAGCTCACCATTTATCATCACTGTTATTATGAAAATGGAAAGTTCATTATTCCCATGTGCCAAGCAGCTAAATTTGATAGAGAGCAAGTGATTGCCAAAAAAACCACCACCAGGAACTGCTCTTCTTTTAGACAGGTATTGAAGAAGAAACAAAACCAGCAGTTCTCAACAAATGCAAAATTCTGGAGACAGAAATGAGAAAGGAAAAGATGGCAACAAATTGCCCCCTTCATTTTCACCTCTCTCAGAGTTCCTCCATTTAATCCTCTCTCTCACCCATGTGAAACTCAGGAACTCTTTCCTTCCATTGCTAGGAGATGACTGGGGGAGATTTCCTCTGCACTGTTTCTAGAAGTGGTGTCTTCTACCACATTTTGGGACCTTCAGATTTCCCCTCCAATCACAAAACCACCATTCTATCTGCACTTTGAGCTTTTCACTCTCATAACCCTTACAAAAGGATTCCAGTCCCCATCTCTCTGCAGAAAACAGGCTATATGTAGAAGATAAAAACAGATACTTCAATTGTTACATACCCTGGCTTCCCCCACAGCACTTCTGAGGGCTGCAGATTTCTCTCAGTTCTGCAACTTCTTTCTCCAGCTTCTCCATCCTCTCAAGAAGATCTTTAACATGGGCCAGAGTTTCACAGCTCGCTTTGGGTGCATGCACATGGATGTTGTGCCTAAAGATGATATCCTGCTCTTCATTTTCCTCGGCCTCACCAGGATCTAGCTGCACCCCACTGCTGCCTTCGTGCTGCAATGGATCCGCCTCTACCTTGATCTGGGAGGATGTGGGCAGGTCAATCTTGTAGGAATGGCTGAAGGATATTCTTTGACCATTGCTGGTGCAGTTTTCAGATGCAGGAAGTTGAATGGCAGATGCCTGAAGAGTACAGCATAGCAGTATCCCAACAGGGAAGGCAAACCAGCTCTGGAAATCCATCCAGTAGGTTTTCAGAGGAAGCACTGACCCCTGAACTGCAAAGCTGCTTTCAAAAAGAAGGAAAGAAGATGTAAGAAATGTAATCATAAAGCTGGCATTGATTCAGCATAAGGTTGGTAAGTACCTGCAAAAGAGTCACACTGTATGAATTAGATCAAGAGTGCTTCCAGACCCTCCTGACTAGGAGCTTTAAACTTGTATTTCTTAAACGAGACTCAGTATTGCAGTCCAACACAACTATTAACTATGCCATAACCCTTTTCAGCCCTATGCAGCTAAAACAGTCAGCCTTCTAGTCAGTGCTCTACAATACAATTACCAGTGTCTTCTGGTCAGAGTAAGAGATCTCCAGCAGCACCTCAGCTAGCATGATTTTCAACTAGAAGCTTGATGGCCTGTCCACAAGAAGATCTTCACTGAGATCCAGCAAAGGGTATTGATTTCATTTTATTTTTAAATTAATTAAATAAGACAATCATCTCTGCTTCTCATTCACAAGCAGCACTCTGCTTTGCTAGTCTTCTTCCTCCTCCATTCAGCACTTACCTAGAAGATTTAATTTCCTGCAAGAGGAATGGGGAGAAAGGGTATGTTGTGCTGCTGAGGTAGGGCTTCTTCCTTGCCTCCTTTATTTCCAAATCTGGAAATGAGGAGCCAGAATCCAATCCTTGCCCCTACAAAGCACAGATAAAATCCCTTCTCTCAGCATTAAGTGCTAAACAGCATTCTGGGTTACAACATGATGTCATTACTAAGTAGGGCTTCCTGAGAACCACAAATTGATCTCAGACTTTCCTCGGCCTGGAGACCATTTATGAGGAAAAACCCTCAGACATATGGATTTCTGTCAAGCATAATGAAAGAGGAGGACAGCTATTTTGGCTTCTTCATCATGTAATAAAGAGATTTTCCCCTGCTGTTAAAACGAGCGGGTTTAACTGACTCATTGTGGAGAATATCATGTCATACACATAATGAGCAATAACAGGAGACCAAGGAAAGGAAGAATTTAGGAAAGAATGCCTAGAAGTCAGGTCTGTGAAGCTAGAAAATATTCTCCTGAGGAAAGGGGTGGAAGAATCCCTGCTCACATCTTTCACTGTGCAAAGCACAGGATAACCAAAGCTGGAGAGAACCTATAGTGGAAGATTTCATCAGCCTAGCTCTGTAAGCTTTTCTCCATCCCACAGATCAGCAATTGAGGATACAGCGTGCAGACCGTTGCACTATGATGTTCTGGGGAAGATGCATGACTGGAAGCTGCTACAATCAAAGCAAGAGCTGATGAAGACCTGGCTGTGGGTACCAGCAGAGTGTCTCCTAATGATGCAGATGGAGATGGGACTGAGGAGAGAAAAGGGGCTTGCAATCAGAGGAGAAAGGAAGTGCAGGTCCAGCACAGATCTAGGTTGCAGAAGGAAGAGAGAGACAGAAATAACTGAAAGATCAAATTGTGAGCGCTGGGGAACTAATCATGGCAGATGAATGATGAAAAACTCTCTCAACAGAACAAGTTCATAGAGGAAGGAAATAATTTCCAGAGATCAGGAAGCCTTTCCAAACAGCAGAGTAGAACACGTATGTATGGGCACAGCAAGAGTATACAAGGCAACACCAGAAGCAACACAAATTAAAGCTGAAGGAAAGCAGCCAGAGAAAAAGGGGATACATTGCAAGAAGCCATGGACTGAGACCTGAGCTTGGTAAGTGCCAGGGGCTGGTACATCGTGCTATTTTTGCAATCCTGAGCTAGAACAAACGCTGCCAAGTTGTACCGCAGCACCGGACACAGAGGAGTAGGCAGTTTCCTAACTGCTGAGTTAGAAAAGTGGGCATATCTAACCATCCTAAAGCCATGGGAGGGTCCTCAAGGAACACAGGAGGAATAATACATATTCTGCTACACTAATTCTTTTGCAGTGTCTGATAAGCAAGATGTATTAACCCTTCCCACAAGAAGGACAGACTGCTTCTGATATGATATATACTCATTAGAAAACGTAGAGAGGCTTAACAGTAATTTCACTTTTGTTAGTTAGGATCAGCATGTGTTTTATAATGATTTGCCTACCTCCCTTTTCTTAAATCGTTAGTTTCCAGCATAAGTCAAGTGGTCCCTCCTGAAGCAAATCTTTGTTTTGCTGCATGTATAGTTCAAAAACATTCAGACATCTGTATTTGCTCAATTTTACTCACCCACAGAATTTCACATTTTATAACTGGCATGAATAATAAAGTAGTATTATTATGGAAATAGTACTGTGTACTCCACCAGTGAGTCTGTGAAAAGGTACACTAGAAAGCATAGAAAGAGCTTTTCTGTGAGAAAATAACGAAAAAGTACTAATAGTGTTTGTTGTAATTGTATGCAATCACTATCACACAGAAACAAGAGCCTAAATTGGAAATTGCCAGGAACAAGCACTCTAAAATAATTAACTTGCAGGTTAAATCTTTGCCCTGTTAAAGTCAATGGCAAAACTCACACTCATTTCAGTAGCTGTGGTTCCACTGTGGAGGAAACAACCTTTGAAACCTTAATCCCTTTGTCTGGGAGCAATATTAACTACTACTCCATACACTATACATTTTGCAGCAGTAACACATCTGCCTAACACAGGATTGCTGATGTTTGTGCAAAGGCTTTCAGAACTTTAAATGGCAGGCATATTCTACAGGATGTCAAAGAAAGAATGGATGGGTTTTTCCATTCAGAAACAAGAATCTCAGGCAAAAATTTTTTAAAAAAACCAAACAACCAAAAATACAACAACAAAAAAACTAAAAGATTCCTCTTACCCTTCAAGTACTTTCAGATGCCCTTCTGATATATCTGCCACTTGCAGAGCCTATCTGAGCAAGATGAAAGCTCTCTTCTCTTCCCAGACCACTCTACCAGTCCCCGTAGTGAATTTAAGTCCCCACGCATCAAATGGAAGGAACCAATAAGGTCTCTGAGCGTTTGCCCAGAGTGTTTCCCCCACTCAGTCTATCCTACCAGCAGAAAAAGAGCCTGTCCTGTTCATTATATGCTCCACCCCAAATGCAAAGCCAAAAAGCCTTTCCAGACCTGTACATGTGGCAGAAAACATCTTGGCGTGGCTGTAGGGACCCAATATTCAGAAGCACTTCTAAAAAACTAAAAGATGAGAGATCTTTGCATGGTCAGCACCAAATGCAAAAACAATATACTTTAAAAGAGAGCAATACACAAAAACTATAATTATCTAGGAAATTAAAAAAAAACAACAAAACAAACACAGAAGGACTTACAAATAAGCAAAAGAAATGCCAACACTATTACTTGAGTACCCAGAAGATTATCTCAGGCACATATGTTATACATACCAGTTTTTAGATAAAACATATGCAAAGATTCTAATCAGTTGCTTTACTTCCCTGTAAGAGAAACTGTCTGCAAAAACCTCAGGATGGCAAAGGCTATCTATGCATATGAAGACTTTACCATAGCTAGGTGGGGATGTGAACTAAAACTCTATTTCTCACATCAAAACAAAACAAAACACTATAAACTCTGAAGGTAGATTTGCACCACCCCTCCCTCTCAAAACCCTAACTCACACCCTGGACAGTAACCAGCTCTGATACACAACCTAACTAGGAATCCCACCGAAAATGGATCACAATTCAGTTTCCTTCACAGGCTATTCCCAATCCCACTCACACAAGGGCTCTGTTCTGTTCCTCTCCCCAAACCCAAATGTTAACCCTAGGTAGTGAGTAGCTCCAACACCCAGAGGTGCAAACTACTAACTAGGGAAACCACGATTCAAAGTAGCATCTGGTACACCCTGTTTTTCTTTGTCAGATCCTTCCCAACCTCACTGACACACAAGGCACTCTGGGCTTTCTCTCTCTCCTAAACTGTAGAGTAAGAGAAGGCAACAATATTGCTTTCTATCAGAACAGAAACATACTTGGTTTTTGTGAAGATATAGTTCAGAAGATGACCTAAGAAGTGACCTAAGTGGCTTATCCTTTCCAAAGACCCAGTAAAGTCTCCAGAAGGAGCAACCACCAAATAGAGAACCTGCTCCCTCAAAAGAGAGTGAGGAAGGACAGACCTTGGGTCTACCCACTTCCAGTCATACAGGCGCACTGCTTGCACCTGTGTGCCCTGGGTTAGCCACACCTTCTCACTTGCTACTCAGTCACTGGTTTAGGCCTTGACCTAGCAGTCCCCACACACCAGTCAAAATCTAAACTGAGCCCTAAAACTAGCTGACTAGCTCCAACATCCACCCAAAGTAGGGATCCCACCAAAAAAGACCCACATATCTGAGCTGCTGGTACAGCTCAACCTTCTTTGGCAGCCCCACTCACAGAACAGATGTGCACTTTCTCTTTAGAAACCCTAACCCTGAACCCAGACAGTGACCAGATCCAACGTATGGGAGAAATGCACTTGGTTTTCAAACTCTAGCCAGAATCCAAACATTAAAACTTATCCAAACAGTAAACCTGGATAGAGACCAACTCAAACAACCACCCACTCAAAGCTCCAACATCTACTCTAGCTGGGGATCCTACAGAGGGAACCTCAAGTCAAAGCTTCCGGTACACATCAAACGTCTTTGGCAGACCCTTCCCAGCACCGCTCACATGGGGATGTGCGGTTTCTCTCTCTCTCCAAATCCCAACCCTAAGTTGAACCTTAACTCAGATCCTAACCCTAGACAGTGACCAACACCCATTTCAACAAGGGATCCCACCAAAAACATCCCACGTCTCAAAGCTTCACACACACCTCATCCATCTGGACCACCTAAGAAGCACACAGACACCAAAAGGAAACATAAAAACATACTGAACAACTGACAGTGTGTTCTAACACACAAATGCCCTTTGGTTACATCAAACGCCTTTTGATTAAGTGCATCTGATTCCTTGCTTAATTTTCTAAGCCTATTTTCCAGTGACTGATTTTATCAGCCGGAAAGATGCAGAAATAAGAAATTATGAACAATATCATCTGGGAATTAATCTTGATTTTTTTCTCCCTGAAACAACAGTAATCTTCCATGGTAGTCAGGCATCCACAGAGCACTTCACTGAGCAACAGTCACCAACACCTTGAGCTTTGAAGATGCTCACAGAAGCTTTGCAGCCCACAGGCTTTGTAACAGCAGGATAAGGGGAAATGGTTTGAAGTTGAGGGAGGGAGGATTTAGGTTGGATGTCAGGGGGAAGTTCTTTGCTATGAGTGGTGAAGTGCTGGAACAGCTGCCCAGAGAGGCTGTGGATGCCCCGTCCATCCCTGGAGGTGTTCAAGGACAGGTTGGATGGGGTCCTGCGCAGCCTGGGCTGGTATGAAATGTGGAGGTTGGTGGCCCTGCATGTGGAGGGCAGTTGGAGATTCGTGATCCTCGAGGTCCCTTCCAACCCTGGCCACTCTGTGATTCCGTAACACCTGGGCTCCTATGTAGGACTCCAGACCCTCACACGACTTTTTGATGAATCTAGCGAGCTCGCATGAACCGAAAACATACTCAAAATAATGAATGCAACGTTTAAAACGTCACACGCTCCGCCTGAAAGCAGCACGCAGAAAACCGCTCTGACAGCCCAGGTGAATGCGGATTCCCAGGCAGGGCGAGGCGCACCACCGAGCCCCGCCCCGCAGACAGCTGCTGCGCAGGCGCGGTTCGGCGCCGCGCCCCGACAAGATGGCGGCGTCCGCGCTGTGCTGGGCGCTGAGGGCCGCTCGGCAGGTCAGCCTCTCTCCTGCCCTTCTCTTTCCCGAGAGAGACGGCCCGGAGCTGCAGCAGCCTATTTTCTGTTGCTGTTTTAAACTAGGTTCTCCCAAGCCAAACGCGGGGCTACTACGTGGACTGGAGGATGCTGCGCGATGTCAAGAGGAGGAAGCTGGCCTACGAGTACGCGGACGAGCGGCTGCGGATCAACGCCATCCGAAAGAACACCATCCTGCCCAAGGAGCTGCAGGTACGGGCAGGGCACGCAGCGCAGCCTGACTGGCTTAAGTCTCCTTTCAATTGTCAGTTGCATAGCTTGGGAAAGCTGTTTTCCTTTATTGCGTGCTGTCTGGTTACTCATATAGCTGCCTGAATAAAGATTTTTACAGTTTTGTTTAGGAGCTTGGAAGCCCAATCCTGCCAAAGCCACTAGTTTAATTAGAAATTGTTAATTTTAACATGGAAACCTAGAACAGCTTATGTCTAACCTTATTTTCTCCTCTCTTACACTAAAGCCGTACTATCCTGTCACAATCAGGCTGTGTACAAATTTGGTCCCCCTCCTGCTTATACCCCCCAAATACTGGAAGGCCACATTGAGGTCTCCCCTGGACCTTCCCCAAGCTAGACAAGTCCAACTTCCTCAACATTTCTCCATAGGAGAGGTGCTCCAGCCCTCTAATGATCTTTGTAGCCTTCCTTAGGACCCACTCCAACTGCTCCACATCCCTCCTGTGCTGGGGACAGACTGGGATGTAGTACTGCAGGTGGGGGCCGTTGCAAGGGCAGAGCAGAAGGGGACAGTCCCTTCCCTGCCCACTGCCACCCCTCTGTTGATGCTGCCCAGGACTGGCCATCTGGGCTGCAAGAGTACACAGCTGTTTCACATCCACCTTTTTGTCCACCAGGAGCCTTAGGCCCTTCTGTGCAGGGCTTCTTTTAAGGATTTTCACACAGAGGGTGATGAGGCACTGGAACAGGTTGCCCAAGGAGGCTGTGGATGCCCCATCCCTGAAGGCATTCAAGGCCAGGCTGGATGTGGCTCCGGGCAGCCTGGTCTGCTGGTTGGTGACCCTGCACATAGCAGGGGGTTGGAACCAGATGATCATTGTGGTCCTTTTCAACTCAAGTCATCCTATGATTTTATGATTTCTTCTCCCAGTCTGTACACGTATCTGGTATTGCCCCAGCACCAGTATAGCACCTTGCACATGGCCACGTTGATCCTCATTAGGTTTGCATGGGCCCACTTCTCAAGCCTGTCCCAAACTTTGGTTGACATCCCTCCGTACTGTTGCATCAACTGCACAACTCATCTTGATGTCACCCTTAATCCTGACTTCTTTTGAAGATATGGATCCCCTTAGAAGGTAGCCTGACACTAATGCTTTTCAACATTTGCAATATAATGGGAACTTTCATAGTCCAGCATCACCTTCCTTTTACGTCCAACCATGTCTTCCTATCACAGGATCCTTTAAGCCTTGCTTTTTTGTTGTTTTTATTATTATTTACCAACTGCTACTACCTGATGCTTTCTGCTGACTTTTTGCTCTCTTGTACACAGACAGAACTTGAAGCTTCTCGCTAGAGCAGAGACATTTTCACTCATTCTCTTCTGCCTGTAGCTCCTTATGAAGTACGAGCTGTAATATCCATTTTTATCGGCAACCTGTGAAGGTAGATAAGAAACAGCTTATCTTGAAGGACTAACCCACTCCATATTTACTGGCTTGAGGTTGTATGATGCATCAGAAGGTTAAATTGTAAGCTTTGATGTAGATCACTTTACATTCACTGTTAGGGTGTCTAAAAAGAAAGGCAGGAGGAAGTTTACCATTAAATATTCAAGCATACTCATGATGTAATAGTAGCCTGTAGTGATAGCTGTTCTACAATGGGATTTGGAGGTCTGGAAATAAGATCCCTCAAAATCCTAGGGAACACGGTTAAACTCTAAGCTGTGGTCTTCTGTTTTAGGAAGTGGCTGATAGAGAGATTGCTGCCTTGCCCCGGGACAGCTGCCCTGTGAGGATCCGAAATAGGTGCGTCCTGACGTCCCGCCCTCGGGGGGTGAAGCGGCGTTGGAGGCTTAGCAGGATTGTTTTCCGCCATTTTGCTGACCATGCTCAGATGTCTGGGATACAGAGGGCCATGTGGTAGTTCACTGCATGGATATGTGTTCACACAGAAAACACAGGACAGGCTCAGTTTGCAAGTTCAGTTCAAACAGACTCCTATGTGTAAGTCCAGCCTCAAACTGATGCAGGATGGAAGAAGAGCCACACTGACTCATTTACTGGATTGTGCTTGGGATCAGCTCACTGACAAGCAGCAGCATAACTACACTAAGCCAGTCTGTGTAAGAAGCAGTTTTATTTTGAGGGGGGGGGGAATAAAATCAATCGCATTGTTGCAGAACTGAGCTGAGGTCTGTGATGGGTAACATTTAAAATAAAGACATATAGCAAAGGCTCATTTAAGTTTTTTTTTTTTTTTTTTTTTGCCACTATATGGTTAAATTCACCATGGTAATTTAAGTAAAAGCATAAATGAAACTTCACAACAGGGTAAAGTAGTATTCTGCCATGAACAGGAATGAGCATGAACTTAAAAACATAATCTCAAGTTCAGATATCTTGCTATGCAAACCTAATACAAACATATTAACAAGCGACAAAGAACAGGTAGAGAACCTACTGGAAACAACAACATGTTAATATTCTTCTCCTACCTATAGTGCAGAACTTGTTCCAGTGCTTTAAAAATAAAGTAGCAATTAAGTCCTAGTCCAGACCATAACAGGGCAGTAATGGCTTGCTTAATTTGGCAGGTAACATTAAGTAAACCTGTCCCTGGGAGAAACACAAGGAGGAAGCATGAAAGAAACAACAGTAGCCCCAGCAAGCCTGCTGCTAAGTTCATGTTTGCCATGTACTCTTCTTCAAGCAGGGCAATAAAGGGGAAATGGCCACTCTGCCCTCCCTAGCTGTATGTGGCAGGGGCTGCAATAATTAGGCCAAGTTGTACTATCCTCAGGTGGAAGACACACAGGCAGCAAGTTAACAGCAATCCATCACCCCCAATTTTGTGAAACTTTGGTGTATAACTTAACACACTACTTACTCTGTTACATTAAAACCTTTCAAAGTTGATAGGAGGTTATGGAGCTTCTCTCTTTTCCACATACACTGCTAGAGCCAGGGTCAACTTGCTAGCATCAGCAACTCACTACTCTTCTGTGACTGGTGCCACCTAGAGACACCCCAAGGAGGTCACACTTAGCATAGAAGCTAAAGGGCAGTTTTCAAAAGCCGTGAGCAGTTGAACAGGTAGTACATAAATTTTTTAATACCACAGTATAAACACCACACCACTTCTGCTCAGCTAGCAAGTGCACTGTCTTGAGATAGTGGTTCTGCTTGCCTCAGCATTTTTCCTTTTGTCACAACGTACTATCCCACATGTCAAAAAAGCATACCCCACAGTGACACTAGTCCCAGTAACCAGGTGGGACAGAGAGACCTTTACCCACCCCGATTTAGGATTCCTTTTTTCTTCTACATTCCCTTCTCAGCTTCACAAAAGCCTCCACTTATCTGAGGTGCTTTTTTTAGGGAGGATAAGGATTTACCTACGCTCCACTCCTCAGGAAATGGTGAATCACTTGACTGAAGGAAATGCTTTATAAGCTATTTTATTTAAATATTTTCTCCAACCTGAAATGGAAAATGAGTGTCTTTGCTTGGAAGAAGATTGTGTAAACAATGATCTTTGCAGCACAGCGAGTTCTCACATGGAAGATCTGTATTAAGGCAGCCCTTAGAGTACTTTCAAATATCCATTGGTATGTCCCCTTTGGATTGCTTTTCTCTGCTTTCAACCCAGGCCTTGTTGATGGTGCGCTTCATTTCATCATCTCCTTCTGCATACATCTTTTTTAAAAGGTTCATAAGCCCTTCACTAGGATCTGAGGTGTCATAGGCAGCCTTCCTGCAAGACAGATATATATGAGAAGATCAGTCCTAGCTAACAATTCTCTGCAAAAATCTGAACACCAGAATTTGTTAGAAACATCATCAGTGAGCATTTTGTTTTGGCCAAGTCTTTACATCATGGAAACCATTAATCACATTTTTGTCACCGTGTCTTCAGGTGCATTTAGACTAAATGCAATTCCACTTAAAAGCTGTCCAGTTAAGGATAACAGGAAGCAATTTGCAGTAAACGTGACCCACCACCAAAATTAATTTTAAAAAGCAGGACTTGAATGTAACAGATCCAGAAAGTGCCAACATCTGTCTGCAAATTAAAAGAAAAAAAACAAAAACCACCAGAAGAACGACAACACTGAGCTTTTCAAGTGGCCATATCTGTGATCCAAAAGGCATTTTCTGCTTCCAGCTGCTATGGTGTTCAGAGGTTAACTGCTTCATCATAGCACCTTGCATTTCTAAGCAATTTTCTCACCCTACAAAGCCAGCAACAGTGAAGAAGAATAATACTCCATGTGGGAAGCATCTTGCTATGACATGACCCACATTACCAGACTTCATATTATACCATCTCTGGCTAAACTGCCTCTATATCCCATTTTTCTAAAATCCCACAGGTATTCTTCAGGTAGCTGCAGGCTACCTGCAAAACACGCAGATCAAAATAAATCAGCAGAGGGAGTGAGTTCCCCAAGTATGGGGCTAGGCACCAGCCTCCCAGACCTGAACACTGGTAAACTGGGAGGAATATTTCTGGAGTGATTCATTTGTCTTAGGGTAAATCCTCAAGCCTTTGAACAAGGCAGCAATGCTAGCCCTGTCGGCTGGGCAGCAGATGGTATTTCTCTGCACAAGAAACAGATTTAATGAGATGACTACATTCCTCCAGCAACTGATCAGTAGTCAAGTTACCTTCTCCTAGTCTTTAATGCTGTTGTTTGAGAGGGGAAGGCAGTTTTTGCTCTGTTAGCCAGGACTGATCAGTTCAAGCTAGTCATTTTACAGAGATTAAAAAAAAAAAAAACAAAGCAAAATGAACAGTTGTTGTCAGGCCATAAGTGTCTCAAAAGTGAATGCTTCCACACTTCAAAGTGGGCCTGCAAATTCTCTTCTGGATGAGAATGTGTATATTTTAAAACAGCATGAAAGTATTATACTAAGTATTATACTAGCTATGTATTACTACTACACACACAGAAATGCATTTTGTCCCCAGGTGTTTCTGGCTGTAGCTTACCACTTTTTCACATCCAGTGCCCAAGCTGCCTGTAGTACTGGTCCCAAGAATTTGAAGCAAAATGATTTAAAGTTGTCTGAAAATTTTGTACAATGACCAGGTAAGCAAACAAAAAAAAAAGAAAAAAAAAAAACCTTTGCCAAAAGGATGCTGGGTGTTTTGTGTGGGCATTTCAAATGCATGTAAAAAAATATTATTTTTTCTGTATATCTACAGAATATAGCCTAAAAACAAAGTCAACCTCACCAGAGCAGTTCTTGGTAGAAACGCAGCCATTAAGATAAAACTGACTCATTAATTGGTTAATTACCTCTAGCACTCTCACTGAAGGTCTCATCTGTCTTATTTCCAATGATGTGACATTCATAATAAGCAATAAACCAATAGAAGAGTGGCAATCAGCTCTCAAAGAGCATCTCCTCCGCTGTCAGTCTTACTGGTACCACAAAAATCCCAGCCTAATGATTCACAAATACCTTGGGGGCCTGTGCCCCAGAACAGCAGTTCTCTTAATCTGACTGTCAGTGCGTTACAGCTCTTCTCTTGCCTGTCCTAAAGCAGTTTCAGAAAGAAGATAAGATGGAGGGGCAAGGAGACACTTACTCTTTCTCTTTGCTTTCTTTTTCCACCTGAGTGAGACACTCCCATTTTTCTTCCCGCTTCTTCTTACACATCACAAGGACTGTGTCTGTCTTTATCTGGATGGAGAACAGCAAGATAGGAATTTAGAATACTAATAAAGGATGCTAGACACAACCACAATGAACTTTCACCTCTTTCTATATCCACCAATTCCCAAAACATTTATTTGCTGTTGATTTTTAGGTAATATACAGAAATTCTAGCATGTATTCAGCTTCACAGCACCAAGTGTTGACCTCACTGTGGTGGATTAAATGGCATGACTGACAGAGTACTAGTAGAGTACTACAGTACTAACTACTCTATGGTACAGCAGAACATACAGTGCTGTAGAAGCACCAGTCAGTCATTTTAGGATACTAAGCATGCAGGACTGCCTGGTAAGTGGTGATACCGAGTTTTGGAAGAAGCTCTCCCAACTCATTTCTCCTAGGACAAGAAACTGGTTTAAGGGCATTGCTTCATTTCACAGTATGTTTGCAAGTTATAAGCAAAGCCTGTTTAATTGCTACCCTGACCTCAATTCCTCAAAACTGCTGTGTGCCATGGCACACAGAATTCTCCCTGAGCATCAGCTTAGCTCAGTGGCATGACTACTATTCTTTTTCACATTGTATTAAAAAGAAAAAAAAAAAAAAAAAAAGAAAATCACTGGAGCACCATTTTTTTTTTTTTTTTTTTTTTTCTTTTGGTACACTATTCTAGTTTTAGGACAGTTTCAAACTGAACCATCATTTGGTTCAATGGTGTTACAAGCAGCAAAGTAGGAAGAGTATTTCAATTGCAGTCATCAGCAGTGAAAAGTTGCTCCTGTTTAATCTATCTCTACTAAAGCCAGAGCAAGTTTTGACATTGTTTTGGGCATTATGCCTATTTAAGCTACTCAAGGCTTCAGTCTGCTCACAAGTCTCCAGTCCTTAAAACTGCAAAGGCTCTCAGAAGTGTTTCAGAGCAGAAGAATGCAAACTAATGCTTAGTGGAATTTTTTGCTTAATTATTGCTGAAATCCCAATTGGAGGGCTGTTTAGAAAAAGCATACAATACCTAGCTATGATCTTTTCAAAAAAAAGCCTATGGGCTCTAGAGAATGATTCCACAATTACAACAACTAGAGATTCTTAAGAATGACTTTCAGGCAACGACCATGGTACTACCTGTAACACACAGGGTTTGCACTGACCTTTCTGGAGCTGCCTTCCACAGAGATGGGCTTCAAGAGGTTGTTGAACGTCATGGTGTAGTTCTTTCCATTCAGATTCTTCACTAGCAGATCAAATGACCTGAAGCCAGAAGTTGGGGAGAAAGCAAACATAAATACATACTCCAGTCTGTACAAGACTGTTCCACACTGCCACTGCAAACTGTCCTAGATCCCTTTAGCAGGTGCATTACTTGGGAGAGCATGTCAACTGGCCCAAATTTCCTCCTACCCTTTCAGTTGGATTTAATACTGCCACATAAATATATGTATATATATATATATATATAGATTACACATCAAATCAAGATCTTTACAGGGTTCTTTCTCACTGACCTCCTGCAACTAAGGCAATTTTATTTAATCAACATTTCAGTTACATCACCATTAAAAACAGGGCTGGTGCCACATACCCTGTCAAGCGATATGAGGTGTAACGAGCATTTGTAAATTTTTTTTTAAATGCCCTCTGAAGAGGGCTATGCTTAAGGGTGTGTACTAAATAAATTGAAGCAGGGGGGCAGGAAAAGGCCTAGTTGACCTGTAACAGTACTCAACACTACACAGCCCTGCTTTTCAAATAATATTTCAACAGTTCCTCATCCATGCTTCTCCCTCATGGAATAGTGCAACAAGATGAACTCACCTCTCTGTGAAATTCACCTGCACGTTCTCAGCTGGAAGCTTCTGGACTCCATTTAAAGAGACATAAATCTTAATAAACTTGTCTGACTGATCCCAACCTGCAAGAGAATAAGAAATTAAGATCTAGCTTTCCTCCATACACTTAATGCATTCTGTTCTATGATTGCATGATTCCAATATTCTCACGAAGTCCATGGTAATGATCACAACCTGTGCCTTACTGAAACAACCTTCAGAGGGATAAGGGAAATCTGAGAGTAAAAGAAGGTCCTCACACATTCCTGAACTCCTCTAAATTTGGAGAAAAGCCATGCATCAGCTCAGTTAAAATGACAGAACTCTGTGCAGGAATTGGAGATGTCTGTTTTTGCTGCAGTTTCCTTGGCCCACTTTCTCCCAACACACCAGACAAGCATCTTGAGCAACTCCTTCTCCTTTTACCTACGTGACAAGCAGAGAAGCCAAAGCTCACTCTTTCAGTCTTGCTGAGCGTTACACAATGGAAAAAACACTCGCTGGTACAGCAGGGACTGTTAATACTTTCTACCAGTATGGGACAGCACTCACACCAACAGAACTAACACATACTGTGCTCAGGGCCACACAGTAAGCACACAGAACCTTTGTAAGTGGGGTCTCCAGTACAAAACAAACATTCAAGACGGCTTCTTACAGCACTATGTGAAGACTATAAGTCACTGACACCACTCAGGCTTCTCTTCAGGCAGAAGCCTGAGCTGTAAGGGCTTTTTGAGAAGCAAACCTACCGTAATTGTTGATTTTCACTGTGTACCCTCCCAGTGATGACTTTTCTTCCTCTATCACATCTTTTGGCTTTGGCAGAGGCTGACTCTTGATTTCTAGCTCTAGCTTGTGCTTTTCCATCATCAGGACATCACGCAGCCGCTTCCTCGTGGCCTTCACAAGCAGCTCTTTAACCTCCTCCAAATCCTTCTGCAGCTGTTTAACAACAGAAGATCGCACACGCCGATCAGACGAACCTGCTCAAGGTTCACTGCCGAGCTCTCCCCCGCTCACCAGATACCTCAGATTCACGCAATCAATGTCACTCGGCATGCTGCTAAGCACGAGGCTACGAACACCTTACCTCCCCTACCACACGTACATCAACGTTTAAGCTCCCATCAACCGGGACACAGCGGAAAGCCGTAAATGCTTTACAACCGAAACAGCTTCTCCGCGTTCAGAGGCCAACAGACCCCCTGCGTGAGCAGCGTCCTTCCCGCCAGTTCCCAGTCAAGAGCAGGGGGAAGGAAGGGAAGCCGCTCACCTCCTCGCGCGCAGCAGCCATGTCGTGTGTGGCACAACACCGAGCCGCACCTCCACAGCAAAGCCACCAACTCCACGGCCCCTCTGGAACCTTCCGACCTCCCGCCCCGCCCCCGCGCAGCGGAAGTGACGTACGTCTCCTCCTCCCCGGGGCGCACGCTGCCCCCTTCCCCACTTCCGCTCTCTCAGCGGAAGGGGAGGGCCAAACCGCGGCGTTGCCATGACGACGAGCAGCTTGATTGACAGCGCCCTAGAACCCGAGGAAGCGGGGCTGTTACCTCAGTGGGTTCGGCCCGCCTCGCGCGCTGCGCGTAGCTTCAGTGTCGTATCTTCACTTCAGTCTGTGGTATTTGTAACGACCGAGCTCAGCGCGCACATTGTTCCACCTGGGGGCTTGGTTTTATTCCGTTCTTCTTCAACTTTGCAGTTGAAATATGCAACAAATTGCCCAACTTGAAAAATATAAAACTATGAACAGTTGAAACAAGTAATATTTAGAAGGATTGCTCTTGAAGATTGGCAAGTGAAGTGCTCTATTCTGTTGAAACTTGATTTTCTTTTGAAGTAAGGGTTAGAATACCTTCCTAGCAGGGGTTTGCCCTCCCAAGGGGGGTTTGGACACTGTTACGGCAGAGCCGTGCTGCTGCAGTATCTTGTCTCATTTGTTAGCAATGGCTTGTCAACCTGTTACTGGTTCCCTTTGGAAGTAGATCCTCCAGTAGTGCTTCTTTTCAGTGGTTGGGCTGGATGATCTTAGAGGTCCTTTCCAACCTTAATGATTCTTCTGAAGCGTCTATCTGCTCCTCGTCCTGCAGCTTCTCAGCCGCAGATTTCATCTGACAGGATGCATTGTGGTCAGCTGGGAAGAACTTCTGTAGCACGGTTAGTTAATGGGCTAAGCCCAGTTTCTTCTTCTGAAGTTGTTTCCTTATGATCGTTCTGCTGAGCAGCCGCTGAGAGGAGAAGAAATCAGTGCAATTTCCATGACTACCGATTACAGTCTCCTCTGTCTGTGGTGGGATTTCATTAGGAAGTGTTCACAGCTTTAGAATTTAAATTGGTATTGCTTTGCAATTTGATTTCTGGATACAGGGGAAAACACTTAAATACATAAGTGCTCCTGTAATTTGCTTGTTTTCTAGCAATTTTTAACTCTTCTGCTATGAAAACAAGTTCCGCATTGCTCTTCTGGGGTAAAGCTGCAGTGCCACCTGAATGCTACAGCCTACTTTGGCTGTAAACAGGAGAGAATGACGAAAGTTTTCTTCTGTGCATCCTCATGAGGAGCCAAGTGGCTTCTCCCAGGGGACAAGAATGGGAGCTGTTTGTGCAGCAGGAAGGGAAGAAGGAGCTTGGTTAGGACTGGCAGGAGTGCTGAAACTCAGCTGTAGGATCCTCATCTGGTCTTTGTGGTGAACATGGGGCTGTGCAGTGTGTTCCTAGCAGCTCAAAGGATGGGGTAAAGTCATTTGAGAGGATCTGACCTCTCTGTGGAGCACGAGGTAGCCATTCCCTCCTTCCATAGACACTGATACAAACTGATGACAAGCAACTTTTGGGTAGTGATATGGAGGTGAATCAGTACAAAATGTTACCTCTGGTAAATTAACCAGAGACAAGTTTTTAATATTCAGCTTTTCTATCTCTGTTCCTTTATAACTCCCCATGGAGCTTATCTAGTTATGCAGGGAGCTGTGTCTGTTCATCTCAGTTAATAAAAAATATACATATATCCTGTAACAACTACAGGAAAAACTGGTTTCATGAAGTATTTGAATACTTCTGGTTGCTATCTGACACAACTGTTCTGCCCTGATCTTTCTCAGCCATGCTTCTCTGTTGCTGTTTCTTGCTGGCTCCTCTTGGTCCCACTTTTCTTCCTTAGGGCTGCTGCCTGTTTCTCTTGCATACTTCAGGGAAGCATGAAGTCCCAGCCACTCTTGCTTTCCTTCTGTTGTATATGAACAACCTTTAGGATAAATATATTTACCAGTCTGTTTTCTATGCTAGAAATCTCAGAGCAGCACCTGGAGTGTCCAGCACAGTGCTTGTCAGTCAGATCCCTGCGGTACAGGTTACCCTTGTGAGCAGGTACATAATACCACCAGTTTGGAATGAGCTGTGCAATGTGCACATTTTGGACAGCTGTCTGCTGAGCATCAGTGTCTTGGTATAACAGTGTGCTTCAAAATGACCAACTGGAGTGATCTGTATCAGAAAACCCAACGTGGCCGTTTATTCCTGCAAACTGTTTCTTAAGTGGCTTCTCAAAATAAGCATCTTATTCTCATTTTGTTTGCATTTCCATTTATTTTACAAGGCATCGTTCACACAATGATAACAAGGTACTGATCCAAACAATTCTGTAACAATTAGAAAAGTAAACATTTGTTGTGACCATGTACATTAAATTGCACTTTGAATAACAAGCGTTACACTTATATTTCTGTATCATACTTTATATAATACATGGATTTGTTACACAAGAACGGCAGTATGGAACTGTTCTCAAAAGTCTCACAGCGCTGTGATGCTCTTTCTTCCTAGTAACTCTTTCTAGTGACTATATTTTATGAACAAGGGATGCACTCAGATATCAAATGCAGCTAAAAACTTGGAAAATCTCATCAGTAATCAGCACTTTGAGGGTGCTCTCTACATTCAATGCGCTGATGTGATTGCAGACACAGAGTGCTCTGGATCAGAATTATGCTTGATTCGATCCTTTTCTGCATTGCTAACCTTTTCCCTGTGTGAACATACCAGAGAATCCTCTTACACAGAAAAGCATCAGTTCCCAAAGCTCAGGAGAGCTCATGGTACAGCTTTAGAAGGTGGTATTGGTACCAGCGTGTCCCCGGGAATTCCTGGAAGGGGGCACTTGGGACCTGGAGAAAAAGCTGAGAACATACGCTTTTGTTTGCATTGACAGTAGCATCCATGTATTATATAAAATACAAAAATAAGAGAAACTGGAAGGAAATCAGTACAGCCCAGGATTCTGGTGGTATCAAATCACAAATGAAATCTATGATACTCGATCCTTTTGCTGTATTTATCTCCTTGGGATTCAGTTTCCTATATATTATTCTATATATAAGATATAGTTTTCCCAAGATACATATATATTCCTTTACAGGTTAAATAAAAGCAAGTCCCACTGAATAAGAAAATAAGAGGAAGTAACATTCTAATTCTCTACCCATATCTTTTTTTTTTTTTTTCTTTTTTTTCTTTTTTTTTTTCCAGGTAAAAATAGCATGAAATACATTCAGTAGCAAAGCAGTTGGAATCCAGGAGAAGTGGAGAGCCCTGTATTCCTGGAGGATTAACCTGTACGTCTTAAGTCATGATCCTGAAACAACTTGTGTAGACTTCTGAGTTGAGAAAGATAGGATCTTGATCAATGCTGATAATTAGTCATCCAGTTCCAAATTCTTTGTATTTCCCTAAATCCACCTATGGATTAGCCCAGTTCTAAAGGCTGCAGTGATGTCTACTACATAATCCATTCTGAAATGTCCAAAAATCAGTGCTTCACTGTGTCTCCCCTTAGTGTTGTTACTTGGAAGGAGGTAAGGGACAGCTCCCAGTAGGATGGTAGGGTAACAGATGGAAATAAATAGAACCTTAGTTCAATCCTTTGCATTTGAAAGAACAACGTGATGCCTGGTGCTGTGTGTACCCACGGTGCTGGGTACACTTGGCATTGCATATCTCGTGCAGCCAGTGTTTGAGCAACAGCCCTTTCTGCAGGGTTTAGCTGTAACAGAGGCATGCTGGTCAACCAGAATGACATACAGTAAGGTTTTCTCTGTAGCAGCTGGAAAAAAAACCCAGCATTGTAAGACAAGAGAGTTTCTGGTTTCAATGCCAAAGGTATTTAGGCTTACTAGATCATGTAGAAGTATGCCAATTATCCCTGAGTCTAACAGTAAATCAACATAAGAGGTATAATTCTCCCACGCATACAAGCAGTTCCGTGGATTTCACTGCAACTACTTAAAACAAAGATGGGAACAGTCCTGTTTCTGGTGAAGAAAGCCTCAATTTCTCATGCAGCTTTTAAGTTTTAATGCCAGTAATTAAGATTTTCATTTAACTCCAAGTGCCCTGCTCAATCGGTGAGCGATACTGTGACTCTGAAGTCAATGGGATACTTCATGCTTTGTCAAAGGGCTGAATTATTCCTGCTCTTGATGTTGGAGCTCCCTCTCCTGTTGTAAATGGCTGTCTTTATTCTGTGTTGTTTTTCACACAATGGCACAGATTTAAGTGTCTATTTTAGGGAGGAAAAAAAAAAAACAAACCTCAACAAACAAGTTCTTTAAGGTGCCTAACAAGAAAAAAAATCGTTCATCTGACTTGTAACTTGGCTGTGGCAACCTATAGAATGTAGTAATTAATGGGCGAGGCAAGAACGTGTGTTTGTCAGCTGTCAATACTGATTACATGGCTGACCAGCTTTCCCGTAGTGATTTCACTGAACATTAAAGCCTATGGGCTCCAGGGATTTTGCAGTTCCTTGGATTAAAGCCACCCACCGTATCTTTGTTTTTAAGTCTCTCTAGGTAGATGTAGGATTTGTTAAAGTACGTGCTGTTGCTTTTCAGTACTGAGCCACAAAGATGAGACTAGTTCACAGATGTACCATGTAAGTACCTTGCTTCATTGACCCTGTAAAGTGTTACAGTCAAAGTAAACACTTCTTTTTGAAGTGGAAAAAAGATAAGCAGCTTTGTTTGTTTTTCCATACTGGACATCTCAGGAGCAATTTGAATCCAACAAGATGAAACGGTTATACTAAAAACATTCTTTGGAAGCTTATCCCTAATGTAAGTAAAGGCTTCATTCCAGAGTTGTGCAGTCTCAGTAAAATTAAAACTAGATTTAGTTCCATAAAGCTGTATTGAAAGTAATTTGGATTTTTTAAATGGACACATAGTTTGGTACTGAATCAGGAAAAAAACAACTAATCACTCCAGTCTTATGAGCTACTTTCCAGTGCCACACGAAAGTAAGTTTGGTATTTCCTGCTGAAAATCTCAAGGTTGAGCCAGCTACCCCTGACAGACCAGTTGCCCTGGAATATGAGCGTGTCTGTAATCGACTGCTGAAAGGACTGATTAAAAGCCAGACTTTCTTCTTCCTCACAAGAAAGTATCTCAGTACACGTACAGTTAGCAGGCCGAGTTTTAGCTTTCCTGATTTAATCCCGCAGTTTTGCTACTTTCTTTGTTTCTGAGTATAACGATGCTTATTCCTCAAGATAATGCCACAGAGCTGTTTTTGCTTATTTGCTTTGCAGTAATTGTGAGAAAACAGTCTCCACGTATAAATATCACTCTTCCAAATGCCACTGCTACAAACACTAAGTGGGATGTACAGATGGAAGATGAAAGTCATTTACTGCCTTTGTATCATTACCAAAAGTGGATAGTTCAGCCGTTCATTGCCTTCTGAAACTTCTTTTGAGAGCTACAAGGTAAGCCAGTTTCTATCTGACAGAGCTATGAAATCATCCTGGCTAGCAGGTAGCAAACGTGATTTTGTCACAGGAACTCAACTTCTAAAGACAGAGAGCTGAGAAAGATGATGTTCTGTCAAACCTAGTTTCATGAAACACAGAAGCTTACTTAATTCCCTTTTGATAAACTGTGAGAGCACCACTCCCATTTCCCCCTCATCCACTCACTCTCACTGGACCCGCTGACATGACTTCATGTACTGACTTGTCAAAGGACTAAAGGGCAGAAAAATATCCACACACACAATATTTTAAGATTCATCTGCAGTAAGTGCCATACCAAGGACAGGGACACGACTGTACAACAGGGAGTTGGGGGGCAAGGTCTCTGAGCAGCAATCAGCTGTTAGTGAGCACGGCTGCTCAGGGAATTACAGTCTTAACCGTTTTTTCTTGATTCTGATGGCATTTTTCCAATCAAGGCTTTAAATCAGACTGAAGGTAAATGTAAGATCTATTTAAGAAATGTGGACACTTGTCAAACCATCAGTGTCACTCATCAGCACAGTACTCACAAACGTGATCAGTGAACGCTCGCCAGGTGTTCTCAAGTGTCACTTCCAATTTTTTACGCCGTTGATACCAAGTGTGGAATGGTACTGATAAGTGAATGAATAATGCTAGGTTAAGATAGTCCACACAATGGAAACATCTATGTAAATATTAGCATGAAAGTGTATTTTTCTCCTATTTGCAAAAGAGATCCCTTCTGCTTTCTCCCTCTTTATTCTCCCTTCCGCCCCCCTGTCTTAAGGTTTCCAGATGATTCAAACTTGCAGGTACTTTTAAAAATGCTAACATTCTTTAACTCCTAACTCTTAGAAGTGAGAATTCATTCGCAGGATCTCTGTGTCAGGACTATGATTATAATCTGATCTCTGCTTCAAACAGGTGACTATCCTTCTGAGTCATTCCTTTGGCACAGATAAACATTAAATTCGTACTACTCTGTTTGAAGTAATTCACAATTTTGCTTGACAACAAAGCACAGGATGAGTATCATTAAATTTTATTATACAAAACTGACAAGATATGGCATTCCTTCAAATTAATAAAAACAACAACCAAGTCAAAACAAAACTGCTATACCTGGAACAGTGTTGTTAATGGAACAATTACTACACAACCTTTTGTTCAGCAGCAATATTTACCTGCAAGACCATTTTATAACATGAGAGGTATGATTAAAAAAATATTCCATCAGTTCAAGCAATAGTTTAATTTTCCATGAAATAAGTCTTTCTATAAACACTTTATGTTCAGTCAAAACAAACACTTTTGAGTTTTCTTACCTTAGACAACATATAAAACAACCAGACAGGTTTGGGAATCATCAGAGAAGTCTATCCCACGGGAGAAGTCTAAGTTCTGTATTTCACTTGAAAATGTCTGTCTTTATAAAATAAGTACTATCAACAGCATTTCCTGGCCAAAGATTTATAGCAAAAAAAAAAAAAAATCCTGCTTCTGTGATGTTTTATTCATCAGTGCAGCAAAAAGCCTTTTGGGTTTGTATTTGGTACCTCATTTCTGTGTCAAATTCAGAACTTGCAAAATAGACCCAGGGAAAGGTTTCTGTTAATTGTATTCATAAAAGCCCTGCTTCATTGCACAGGATTTACAAAAGGGCAGAACTATGCAAGGTCTTTCCTCTGCTTCTCTGCTCAACAAATACATTTCCAACAGTTTTCCCTTTCTCCCAGTGGAAGGAATGACTTCTTGGAGTTCTCAGTATAAACATGAAATAAAAAAGGGGAACTAGGTAACTTTGTTAAGTTCCAGTTCAGCTGTAAATCACCTTTAAACAACGGTGCTACTCAGTGCTACGAACAACTGCACAACTTGCATTTCTGAAGAAAAAAAAAACCCAAACAAGGATGAAATTCTCGGGGAAGCTCACGAACAATTGTGCCAAGAGAGCACAAGGCATCTCTGCCTAAGCTTTACAAAAAGTGCTTCTCTGCAGGACGCAGTCACTGCGATAAACTTCTGAGATGGTCCCAGGGCATAAGTTATCCTAGACTCGCACACACACTGGTACTTGTTACACTGTGCTTTCTGGGAAGAGATGATGCTGCAGCACTTTACATTTGACATTCTCTCTCCTCCTCTTCCAGAAGAAAAAACCTTCTATGCAAGATAAAAATAATTCTGAATCATTAGTCATGTATTAAAGAGCTAGTTTTGAATTATTTATTCATCTAGTCATATAAAATAAAGTGTAAAAGTATGAAGGTATCAGAACGTGGCTTTCAGCAAGGCAGTTTGGGAAGTAGGAATTCAACGTAAAACAATATATTTTTACCCTCTTTGAAAAGGGTCACATCAGAATGAATGAAAAACACTGAAGAATTTCACTTCAAGCCTGCACGCCTGCCTTTTGTCCTTTACCCGAGAAGAGAGACCACTGGAAGACTCCCCCAGGGTTTCAGTTGTGTTGTTCTTTGTGCTCTTGTGTTAGGTCTGGCTGGAACTATGTGCTGCCCTCTTTGGGTGGCAGGGACGGCTGAGGCTGCTGCGGTGGCTGTGTGCCTGTGGCAGTTTTGATAGAGTTCAGGGTTTTGCTAAACCAAGAGTTTTTGGCAGCTTGGATTTCATTCATGAGGGCTCCCCTCTGGTGCTCCAGCTCCTAAGAAAGCAGAACGGTCAGAAGTGATCAAAAAGAATTTAAAAAAAGAAAAAATAAAAATCTTCAAACTCAGTCTTCTAACTTTCTTTGCAGCCTCCCAGGCACTGGGGAGAAAGGACGCATTAAAACCACCAAAACAGCAGATGATGTTTAGATATACAAATGAGAATCCTTATTTCTGTCTTTTTAAGGACAGACAGAGGATTCTGGAAGTTCACACGCATACAGCAGTACAGGTATATGCCTTTTTTTTTGGTTTAGGGAGACTGCGTGGCATTCCACATACCTGAATTTTGCACTTGGCTTCCACAAGCTGCAGTTTGGTCTGTGCAAGTTCCAGCTCCATCTCTCTCAGCTGCTTCTTCAGTGCATCCTTCTCATCATCTATTTCTAAGCCTTTATTATCCAGGCTTAGAGCAGGCAGCTTCAGTGTCCCCTCCTTACTGAAAATCTCACTGCAGTGTTTGCAGGCCATCACTTTACCCTGGAATAGCCAGAAAGCTACTTTCACACTTCACATTAAAAGAGTTTGGTAAGTTCATGAACAACGCCCTGAGTATATGAAACAGTATTAAAAAAAAAAAAAGAAGACCTTAGAAACTAGTTAGCATTCTCTGTTTAAGCACAAAGACTTGACTTCTCAGTAAGACTCAAACCTTCTTGCTACCAAAGCTCTGTCATATTTTGCAGTATTTATGTTGGCACAATTCAGAATAAATTACAGACTAGGGACTTTCTTGATCAAATTCGTACAGATTTTGTTATTTGCAAGAAATCCAGCCAGCTTTTCTGTATTTCCAGAAGTAGTCAGTTGGTTGCAAGATGTAGTACTGGCCCTCAGTGCATGGTTAGAATCATAGGGGACAGCCTTTCTTACTAACATTTGACACACAGTTGCAAGGTTTTCATGCTGCCTGGTGAGGTGAAGCAGACACTCATGGCTGAGGATGTAGCACAGCTGGTCTGGGCTTGCAAACTAACACAGAATATTGAATTGTTTCAGCAGTTTACAGGAACATCAATAGTAGTATATCTTTTGACCAGTAACAGATAGAAATGGTCACTAAAAAGCAACAAATCAGGTTCAGCTTGAGTACTAAGGGGACCACTAGATGTTACCATTGGCAGAAAATGATTCCACCTACTTAGCAGTGACAAAGCAGAGGGATGGAATTATTACCTGATCAGGAAATACTTAGCATTTGTGTAGATACTAGGAATGGGATTTAGGGAATAGAGAGGAACTGCTAATGAAATTCTGGGGATGGCCCAAGCTGTGCCCTAATAGTAATTCTGATCCTCTCCACTATGCACACCCAAGTAGCAGCAGGTTTTCTCCTCTAGAGAGCCTTCTTTTGTTTACATTTAATGGAAACATCTGAGTAAATACAGCCTTTCTACACTGCTGCCAAAAGCACATTTCTACAAAAAATAAAAATAAAATTAAAAAAAAAAATCGACATTCCGTTCATTTTGAAAGTTCTGATCTGATAAACTTCATTTTTTTACACTGCATGAACAACAGATGGGGCTGTCAGTGCAGCTGGGTGAACACTGTTGCAATAAGCTTCAATTCACATTTTGTTCTGTATCATTGGCATTCAGCAACACTTGCATTCAAACCATTCCATAGGGAGAAGCATTGGTCTCACCTTTACAACTTCCAGTTCATCCTTACTGGCTGTCTGTTGTTTTTCCAGCCTGGTGCTCAGCTGGGAACAAATCTGGAGCAGAGAAAGCACTTTCTTAGATGAAATGGACTTTACAAAAATATGATCTGTGCTTTATAGTAATGATTATTTTAGAGCAAACACTTACTAAATTCTGCCTCACTCAGCTACACGTGTTACCCCTTAACAAATTCACTGCTGGTGATAACTAAGACTTAAAAATAGCAGTATTTGATACAGAACCTGAATACAGGGACAAGAATATTTTACAGATTATCTGATTTATAATGTTTACACAGCTCTGTGTCACCACAGCAAAAACATAAATAAAAATCACTAGAAATAGTTTAAAGATAGATTATTTTGGTTTCCCTAAGTCAGCAGACTATTAGGAAATCTGAAACAAGATGTATCAAAAATTATAAAGCTTTCTGAAAGCCTGAAGTGTAATGTTTTTTTAAAGCTTTTTAAAGTTTATATGAAGGATGAGATGTGCAACTCTGACAATTCAGCTCTCAAAAGGGGCTGAAAAAACAATTTACAAATAAATATGAGAAAGTGTCTTTATAGAACGTTACCTGTTTGTAGTCTGCAATAATAGCTGTGGTTTTCTTAATCTCAGATTCTGCCTTCTCCAGTTGCTTCCTGAAGACTTCCTTCAGCTAGGAATTGAAGGAGAGAAGTTACACAGCACACTGAATGAAGTTCTTGAAATGCATCATCAAATTGTTCTCTCAAAGACAGTCTGTGTTTACAACATTTCTATAGCTTTTTCTTACCAATTCCCAGCTCTGGAGAACTGGAAAAGGTCTGATTCATTTATTACACAAATACCTACTATAACCAACAAGTCTCTTCTGTCATACAGCGTATCACTGTTTAGAGAGTTCTCTGTCAAATAACAGAGCACGGTTCAGAGAAGATAAAAGACAACCAAGTGGGTGACAAGAGGTATGGGCAGACAGGTTGGTTGGTTGGTTGGAACAGGGAGAAGAATCTCTCAGCACTATCACTCACCTCTGTAAATATCTGGTTTAGTCAGTGGTACTGCATCAAAACACAGTTAACTCATTCCTCTACTGTTTACAAGTGCTAAACATGCAGCACCCTTTCAGTAGGAAGAAGGCTTCCATTGCCTTGTATGTAGTAAATACAGATCCTGGCAGCCTCCATTTTAGGCAGAAAGGGAATAATAATTGGTTTGATTGTTACAATTACTGTTGTGGAATGGCAATAACAAAAACCACGGTACTGCTCTCAAAGCATTCCAACGTGTGTGCTGCTATTCAGTATGTAAGTTATGTACGATTAAAACTGCACATTTTGCTAAAGAGCATGAGGTCTGGTCAGCAGCTTTACTTCAACCCTCAACTCCATCCTGCTGTTGGTTCTAGCTTCAAAAAGGAACATCCACAGCTTTAATTCAGTCAAGTTGCGGCCTCTTACAAGGCAATGATTCTTCCAGCAACCTTTTTAGGTAATTAAAAAACATCTGATTGTGCCTCCTTAGTTGTGATTGCTCTCCACCAGTGAAAATTCTTTCTATACTGGGGAGAGGATAAGATACAGAAAAGTGGACATTCAGGAAAACAAACAAACAAACAAACTGCACACATTCAGCCTGGCACTTTGAATTTTTGCCACTGCATTTTGAGGACAAAAGTCCCTTCTGTAACTTCAGTTCACTCCTGCTTTTCTGATCAACTTTTTGCGTGCGTTCAGCTAAATGGGAAAGATGGGAGGAATGCCTCACCTGAGCAGTTTCCTCTTCCTGCTTCCGTTTCTCTTCCTCAGTCTCCACGAGTTTCTGTTTGGTCAGGAGAAGTTCTTTGTTCAGAACATCTGCTTTGTCTTCAGCCTAGAATGAGAAGCAGTGGTGTAAACCACGTTACCTGTGCCAATGCAAGTGCACTGATGGATGTATCTCACAAGTATCATGGATTCAGGATCTAGAGTTGCCTTTTCCTGACATCAGAGGGTTCACCCAATCTAGTTTGTAAATGAAATTCCCGTTTCAAGTAGCTGCTAAGATATTCCTTTGTGCTTCAAAAACTCTGCAGAATGACCCTTTTGCCAAATGTTATCAGTACCCAGGTGACAGGTAAGCACAGATCACACATCCTAATACAAACCTAAGACAAACAGTATATAAAGTACTTTTGGTTGGCAGCAATATTAATCCAAGTGAGGGCAGCTGCTGCATAACTTTGCATACTGCAGAAAAAGTCAGGGGCCTGCTATGTACCTTACCATGTGCCAGAGCTTAGGTAAGTAGCAGAGACAAACTGAATCACCAAATAAGTTTGTTCATCAGTGCAAACAAGTACTTCCTGGAGAAACTTGACACGGTGAGTGTACTGGAAAATACACTGGGAACGCTTTGGGATTTGTGAGCACTGTCCTCACTGGTCACCAGATCCATCACCAGGGGAGAAATGTATTTTTCAGTGCCTACATATATTCTGTTGGCTTCCCCAACTGGCAGATGCACACTGCATCGCACCACATGTCCTCAGTAACTACACGGTAGGACAGGCTATGGCCATTGACAAGTAATACTTCGCTGAAAATACAAGAGAGAAAATGGCATCATAAACAACAAATAACAGGAAAGAGCTTGTCTCTGACTTGCACTTCGTTTTGCTACACTGCCAGTGGTATCAGCTCATCTACTGCCACAGGGTGAATTATGAGGGAGGGGGCGGGTGGTGGCTGTGGGTAGCAGGCCCTGGCTGAAGTGATGGATTGAAGTCTCCTGCATTGCTTACTGTTTATAAGTAGCTGTATGGGAAAGAGGAAAAATGAGCAGTGAAGGAACAAACAAGTGATAAGGTTGATATCTTAGAACAAAACGACTTGAAAATGACAAAGGTATTTTTGATAAAAGACCTGCTAAAGCCATACTTAGAAGGAGTAATTTAAAATCTTTCCTCCTTTTATGTGGTTTTTCCAGGTTCCCCAAGCACCTGCAGTGGTGCACAGTCTCACCTCTCCTTGCAAGTGAGGAACAAAGCTTTTCTTTCAGTGCTGCTGACCTGAGGTGGGGTGGGAAAGATTCATGGAGTCCCCTTCAGCTACAGAAAGATGCTAAAATGGAGGAGAGCAAAGAACAGAGCGGGCAAAAGTACACGCTCAGCAGCTTTGTCATGATACTGCAGAAAACAGCAGGGGCAGAAGCAGACATAGCTGTTATTCCTAGGGAAGACAGAGCACCGTGATGCATTGTTTTTGGCCTTTACACCACAGTGTTCACCACACAATGCAGTATCTGCTTGTACTTACACATCTAAATGGCTCTGATTTTTAGAATCACATGAATGAAGATCAGTAGAGCCTAGCTGTCAGGGGTCTAAGTAGAAATACAACTTGCACTGCTATCATCAATTATGTTTACAATTCTGAGGTAAGACAGAGATAGCCAAATAACTACTGAGAATCAAACTGAGAGTCTCTTGCAGGAAAAGATTTTAAATTACAAGAGGCACTACAGCTTTCACTAAGTAAGACGCCAATCAGGAGGGGTGTTACAGCATGGCCCTCTTGTCTTCTCTACCGCAATAACAGTCATTAAGGAATTTATCAGTAGTGCATAAAACAGATCCAGAAAGAGGAGGGTTGCACATGTAGTTCTCTGACATCATCTGTGACTTAAAGAGCTCTGAAAGCTGCCCCTCTATGCTCCAGTCTTCAGAGGAAACAAGCAGTTATCAGTGGATGCCAAAGAACACTTCTAATTTTTGTTGCCATGGATCTACAGTTAAAAAAAATAAATCCATCTAAGGTAGGTAACTTCCCTTTAAATCAGTCTTTCAAGGAGCATATGACACCATTCTCAAATATGTGTTCATTCTTTGGTACACCTGCATTCACGTGGAGAGATGGCTCTCTGAGTGTGACTAGAAATAAGGTCAGGAAGATGTGGGTACAGATTTATAATGCTTTTAATTTTGTATTGATGCTTTTACTTGAGCCCACAACCTGTTACGGAGCATAACCTGGCTCCTAAAACTGGCACTGATAAGCTGGAGCTTGGACACATCTCCATGACAAATCCCCGTTACCTGGTCCAGGTCATTCCGTAAGGCAATTTTGCTCGTTACAAGCTCATGGGCAAGGTCATCGTTCTCCTGCTCCAGCCTCATGCTAGCTTCTTGGAGCCTGCGGTTTTCCCTCTGCAGAAAGAAAAGAACAACCAGAAGAGGATATTAATTCTTATCAATATTAACGAGTGATAAGTGAATATACTGTGTGTATAAAGCACCGAGAAGGCAGAAGTGCACATTAAGACAGGACTGCTGCTCTGAGAAACAACAGTGAATTAAGCCAGCAGTGCAAATGCAGCAATTCCACTTACATCCCAATGGATATGTTTGAGTCGCGCTAAGTGACACAGTGATTGTAGGGCTTCTCTGTCCAAAGTAAACTCAGTCCTCTCTGTAAAAATGCTTCGTTTCTGCTTGCTCATCATCAAAAGAAATAAGGCAGATAAAATCCCACCAGCAGCAGTAAACAGGGAAATACTCACAATAAAGTTCTCAATCAAAAGGACAAATCTACCCTCTGCTCCATTTTGCAAAACTTTGTCTGCAGGTAGTTCACAAAAGCAGTCCATTTGTAGATGACATTACGCCAACCGCTCATCTTCTGTGGGACCAGTATAGAACCATAACCTGCACCTCCATTTGCATGCTCTCTCTACAACCTGCACCAGTGACAACAAGTGTGTTTTAAGGGTTCCTGCTGGGCAAAAGCACCAGATGAAGAGGGGCTGTCACTCCCTAAGCACAAATCCAGAACATCTTCTGCAGCTGATGCATGGCAACACAAAATGTAGAACTGCAGGCCCCGATGCTCCCCTCAGCACAACCAGACCTGTTCCACAAAGGAGGAACTAATTTACGCAGAGCACTAACTAATGAGGGTAAGTGCATGGGGAAAAAAAATTAACAAGGCACATTTCTTAAAAATCAGTTTAAGTGGCTGTTCTGGAGATGAGAAGCAGAATTCCATTCAGAAGGTATCTGTGGGGTGGTGGGCTTGCAGAAGTCCACACCAAACACTCCGCCTACAGAAAGCACAGCCAGTTGAGCCAGATGCAGCTCCCCTCCACAAATACATTTCGAGAGAAGTACAAAATTTGCTGGCCTTTGTCACACAGTGACTGCGAAAGAGACAGCAGTTGGAATTTGTGCACTATGAAAATGACAAGCTCACATGGAAACCTGTAGATGGAGAAATGGTAACCTACACAACAGCATCACAAAAAGGACACTCCAAAGGTAAGTTCTGCTCTCCAAAGAAAAACAGTAAAAGGGAATATAGATCAGCAATGTTTTCCAAGGGTTGCTCAGTGAATGCTTTTCCACACAATGTGATTTCTTTGCAGAAGCGTACTATTCACCAGCCTTCACTTCCTCCTGCTCAACAGCTATGCTCACATATTTTGCTCCTTCCAAAGCTCACCACAGTGAAACTGCTGCTTTCATCTGTTGCAAAAAACAAAAAATTTTGCATGTTCGTCTTAAAGAAAAAAGGACAACTCTGGCTCTAAGAGTATGCTAAAAAAGGTCTCCTCTTTGTGTTAGCTTCCTCTGTGGCAGGAAGCAGAAATACATTCTCCTTAGTGTGACCTTATTGTGCAAATAGATTGTGCACTGCCCTGCACAGGAAAGTCAGCTTGTTTCCTCTCTCAAAGACAGTACTTTAAATAACTTTGTTGTTTTCTTTTTTAAATAGGAACTGTAAAATATTTGTGTCTCTCACAGTTAAAATAACCATTGCAGAAAGAGGGGATTTTTAAAATTTTAATCACATTGTGTTCTGCTTGAGACGGGGAATTTTTAGAAGTGGAACTATCCTGTAAGGATAGCATGTACTTTAAAGCATAAAACTAAATTGCTGTCTTCAGTAACAAGAAGCTCCAATGCATCTTTACTTCTGTACGAATTCAGACCACCCAAGAAACGTCGTTTTTACAGACAAGGTTTGTCAGTGAGCAGGTAACAGAAAGTCTCTTCAGTTCATTTAGAAACTGGGACTGAATTAGGGCTGTACTGCTGTCAGATGCTACAGTGCCAATACCTTTGCATAGGGATGTTGCTTAGAGCAAAAATAACCCAGGAAGAAGTTTGCTGTAACATTTTTGCTCTGCTTTCGCCAAAAGCTTCGGTGTCCGCAAAGCAAGCTGCACAACGTGAAGTCTGAAGTTCCTGCTTTGCATTTGCAGACAAGTGGTAAGCAAGCTGCGTGGTTGGAAATGCACTATCCTCCTCTTAAACTAGAACTGACATCTTTAGTAAGTGAAACATCTCTTACCTTGGGCATCCAGTCTAAGAGCTGAGTCTCTCATTGGGCCACTTTACTCTTCCTCCATACAGGGCAGTGTGCACGATTAGATGGTTTGTCCTTTCCAGCTCCTCCCCCCTGATCTAGCAGTGAAAAACTGCCTCCTTCCTCAGGAGGAAACTCTCATCTGCTTAAGTCTAAATAAAACCTAACGTTATACAACAAAGATAAAAATATCGAATGGTGCTTTTTGTATCCAGCAGACTACTTCCGATGGCTCTGAAATGCATACAGGTTTTATAAAATACCGGTTGCGATGGAACAGAGTTCAATAGATGGAGCTGGTTTGTTCCAGCAGGACTCACAGGCAGTATTTTGTAACCTGGCACAAGCCAACTCGTCAGACCTGCTAGATGTCTTTGGTATAAGCAGCCAGCTTCCTGCCTTTTTTTTGCACACTGCTGATAATTCCCTGACTGTGCCGACAACTTCCTTCTCATCAGCACTACCCAGTTCCTACGATCATTAAAACATGACATTCCCTCTTTCCTAAATTCCTCCTTCCTGTTACAAAAAGCATCCCGTGAACTCTTTTAAAAGGAGGATACTGCATTTCCAAGAGGGACAAACATTGCTGGTACGAACAAACACAAAGAAACTTACCTCCAGCAAAGTCACAGACCAAATACTGCTTTCAACCATTGATGTAAAGACAGTGAAAACAGGATATAAAATATTTTTAATACCAGCAAAATCAGAAGAAAAAAAAAAAAAGTTGCCAATTCTTCAGTGGGTCTTTAGTTCCTATTTTTTAAAGAGGATATTCTCCAGCTTCCATCACACACTTGATGGAAAGAAGGGAAATTTGAAAGCAGGAGGCAAGCCTCAGTTCAGGGAGACTTAAGGGCTGAAACTCCACCCTCTGCTCCCAACCAGCCAGCACAAAGGAGCAATACCAGACACGATCAGTGATGATGATGCATCCTCTCTATGCTGCTACTCAAGCTGGGTGTAACGAGTCACAAACCTTGTTAAGCAATTCAGTGTCACATTTCTGGGGTAAGCAAACACCCAAACCACAGATCTTTGGCAAGAACAGGTCCTCGGTGGTGTAATGAAAACACTGTTTACAATTCACTTTCCTGATGCAATCAAACTCAAGTCTTTGTAAGCCCATTGGGAAGAGCCCTGGATTGCAAGGGCAGCTCTAAAGGAAAACCCTGAGAAACACCATCTAGAAAGCCAAAAGGCTTTTACACCACTACCCAGGAAAACCTTTCGTGGGAAGCAACTCAGAGGCTCCTGGAAGTTTGTGTCTTTCCTTGTTGACTGTGAACACAAGGTCCCAGAAGGGCAGTAGCACTTTCAACAAATTGAACAAAAATAAACAATCAAACAAAAAAACCAACCCAAACCAACCCACAAACAAGAAATCCCAACGAGAGTTACCTCATGTTTTCCCACATGGCAGTTACCATTCAGCTACCATGACTCTGAATAAAAACGCTCCCACTTCAAAGACAGAAAAAGCTATTATGTCCAAATCACACATTTATTCAGATAGACAACATCTCTGTCGCACAATGAAGCCCATGGAGGAAAATGCATTTCTACCTTCAGAACAAAGCCTTGGGCACAAGCAGGGTCCAGCCAACTTTATCTGGATATTCTCCCTTTTATTTAAAACAAAAGGTTGCTGAGCCCAACTTCAGCAATTTCTTAGCAAGTCAAACACAGCCCTGTTACATGAGATGTTCTTGAACACAGAAAAAAAAACCTGTAACAATATATAGAAAATATCAATCTGAACCATACTGCTATTTTTTTTTTCCTGCACATACAGGTCACTTTTTTTAACTGACTCTTTTAGGCAACTTGTTCTTTATTTTAACTAAAAAGTATGAAATTTGTTGGCAATGAGCAATTTAGAACGTGTTTACTTTTGCACCCTTTAAAAACCTGACAGCATTGTGAATAATGACTTCTTATGAATAATGAAAGATGAAATTACCTGACCATGAAAATGTGTCCATAAAAAAATATACTTTTCCTACATAATACCAGTAGATACAGAAGGAAATAATCATCAGAACATATGGCACCTGTTAATACTGTTCATACAGCACATCTTACTGTAGCATGCAAACTCAACCTGTCAAGGAAATGTGACTGGTTAATGGCAGGTGTGACATGGCAGCAGCAGCCCTTTTTTGGAGTTTATGGGGAGTGTGGGGGTGGTGGCTCTGCAGGAACACCCTGCTGGATGCACCCAGCTGCCTCGGGCACGAGGCATCTCCTTCCTGGCATTGCTCCTCAGCCCCAGCGTTATGTGCTCAGGAATACCAGGACAGGAAGAAGCTGTCGTGCACTCCATGGGTCATGGTCTCTCTCCCTGAAGTCAGACTGGTCCTCAGTCTCTCTGCATCACCTCCTGTGAGCTCTCTCCCTGCTGCTCACAGGGCAGCGGGGACAGCAGGAAGAGGCAGCAGCTCGGCTGGAGCCCTGCTGCCACCACAGGGGGTCTTGCTCTCATCTGCTCTCCAACAGGGAGGGGTCTTACTCAACACATCCTTCATCCCTGCCAGTCAGGAGCACCAATACAACACCATCACTGAGTACATCCCTAAGGTCCTGACAAATCTATTGGCAACAAAAAGCACAACACACTGCAAACAGCAAAAACTGTAACAATTATAACTAAAAATTGTTAAGAGGCTGCAAGCCTGTTTCCTTCTCAACCTCTAAGAGGAACATTCCAAGTGGCACCATGAGTCTGAGCAGTCCCCTCTTCCTAGGTAAGTAAACGTAAGCAACACAGTGTTCTGGAAGATTACAAACAAGGAGGACCTCTAGGGCAGAGTGCACACAGAGCACACAAGGCCAGAGGAGCTAACAGCAATGCTGTGCTCAGAGGCAATATATTGGCTTTTCACCAGCGCTGTCTCCAGCATTTCCCTAACCAAGCCCCCAAGCCCAGCCAGGCAGTCTAACAGTGACACTGCCAAAATAACATACATTTCAAACACAAGGGCTGCTGTGTGATCATTCAAGGGACAAGCGAAGCTGGCTCTCCATGTTCTGTCCCTGAGGGTCCACAGCTTGCATTTCCTGTTACGCTTTGGAATCTCTCCTGAAATGTCAATTCTCACCAACCTCAGCCTGACACACAAAAAACAAGCAAGCAAGACAACGGACAGAGAGCACTGACAAGCATTACCGCACCACATCAATCAGCTGAAGAATGAGTCTGAACTTGGCATTTAATGTGCAGCTAACAAGTTACGGAGCCTACCTAAGCACACCATCAGTAAGCAGAGCAGACCCCACGAAGGCAGCTGGGCAAGTGCAAGCCAACAGCTGCGCTGTGCTCTTGGCCATGACAGGGACTCACACAGGCAGTGACCACAGAGCCACTTTCTATACCCTCATTTGCAGTTTGGAGATGATATTCTTCACCACCCATCACCAGTTAATACATTTCCACAGAGCTTTAAAGAAGCCCTCTTTGGCTTTTAAGTATTAATTCCAGAGTAGTAGAAGCGAACCACTGGAAAAGAAGTTCATCAGCAGCAAGTTGTGTTTTTTTCTCAATGTTCTGATCATCAGCTCTTGGCAGTCCCAGTTCTCAGAAACAATAAAACATACACTCTTTGACATAAAACAACTACACTTAAAACACTGTTTTTCCACAAGCAAATATTACCTTTAAAGTCAGTTTTACTTTCTTTGTAACAGTAACTCTATCTTATCATATTTACAGTCTTTTACACTGTGGTTTTACGAACACGCCGCACTTTCCTTGTGCTCACATACCATGTAAACCTGTGGCAGCACCTGTAATTATTTACTAGCCCGCACTCTGGGCAGACTTTGTACCAACACATAATAAGGCACACTGAAGAAGGGCAGGAGAACATCACAGGTGTATATAAGCAACGTCAGTTCCCAGCAAAACCGGGCAATATCCAGAAAGATGCTTCATCTTTGGCAGCTTTTCCCAAGAAACACTAACCTCTTTTTAATACTGGGTAAGCGATAAAAGAATCCTGGACCACTGTGTAAAATATAAACCTAGAGGCAGAGCCTCCATCACACAAAAATCTGCGGTAACAGAATGTAGCAGTAACAATAAAACGAGCATATTGGAAACAACGCTGATCCAAACTTATCAAGGACTAATTTTTTTTTTGTCAACTATTGAGCTGTCATATTAATAACTGAACTTTATTCTTCTGCTGCTATTTATGACTATTAATTCTATTGCAGTAGTATACTAGGACCCCAGAAGAACACTGGGTCCCACTGTACTAGCCATTATACTGACATAAAATTACTAACATTTGCTATAAACAGAGTTGAGAAACAAGGACATATCAAGCCAAGGAAGAGTGCATCTTCCAAAAGTCTCTGTGGATGTTACTGCACACAGCTTGGGCTAGAACAATGTGTATTTTCTCCTTTCTGTGTCTGTAGCTGAGAATCACCCTTTGTTTCTGCGTCTCAGGAAGGTCTCCCGTAAAAGCGCAACAGCAGGAGAGTTACCTACAAACATATAAACTGAAAGAAGAAAAATATTATATGTGGCTACTTGAAAATGTCTTGAGGCTAACAAATTGTGATTCAAACACCCCTGCAAAAACACTGAGTGTTCAAAGTGCTCGTTCAGGAGAGGGAATGAGTTTTGCCTGCCATTTTTATTCCCTGAAATCTACATCAGCAAATCCTGGAGAGGTGAGGGTGGGAGCACACCTCTGCCTAATGGCTGGAACTGCATTTCTCCCCATGTCATTCAGCAAACGAAAAAGGTTCCCACACAGCATCTCCCGTACCTTGTATCTGTCCATAGGATCTTCCTGCTGCAGCTGACTCTCTCGCATTGTTTGGTACTCTCTCTCATATTTCTTCAGTTTTTTTGTTGGCACCTGTGGGACACATTTGGAAGACACGCATTTAAAGATCAGAGAAACACCAGAAAGGCTTTCTGAAAGCTCTGCCTGCAAGCAGAAAGCAAAGGAAGCGCTGGAAACTGCTGCTGAATTAAGTTGCTCCCCATTGCTCCCTCCCCCCTTGCTCAGCAAGCCATGTCACTTACCGATACATTGCAGGCTGGCTGAAATCTTTCTGTGCCTATTGCTGTTAATTTTTCAAATACTTTGAGACATTGCAATAAGAAACAAGAACAAAATGGAGCCAGAGAACAGGGAAGAAGAAAATATGCTTTGATATGAAATAAAGCGCCTTATAAAAAAAAAAAACCTGCTAAAATGAATTAGAAGAAAGAAGTGTGAGTGCAAAACGACTGGAGAATTCCCTGGGGGAGATGAGAGTAATGGTTTTTATTGCTGAAAGAGTAGTAATGTCTAAATTACTAGCTTGTGACCAATGCCCTCGTGAAGTCTGGCACCACACTCCTCGGCAAAGGTAGAGATACTGCAGTGCTTGCTGCCAGCCACAGCAGGGAAACAGAGAGGCAACAACACTGAAATCACAAGCAAATTCAGTAAACAACGGTGCGTAAGGATAAGGTCCCAGCAAGCTTGGTTTCTGGGAAGACACAGCTTTGAACATGAAACAAGGGACACAAAGAGCACCTGTATTTTCTACAAACCAAGCACAGAGATCCTGTGACCTTTCACCTTGGTACACTGTGCTATGTGACCAGCTCTCTGGAGGCCTCCAATAGCATTACCACGTCCCTTCTGTGCAGCAAGAATCCAGCCCTGCTAAGTGTGGTCTCAAGGGCTGGCACCCAGAGAGATCACTAACACCACTGACCACTGTGACTCGTAAACGCTTTCTCTGTTATGCACATATCTCTTCCTCTCTCATATATTGATCTTGTCTAGCCAGCTGCTGGCATGAGGACATGCTCCTGTCACCTTGCCTTAGGATACAAAGTTACTGCCAATGAGCAGTTATATGTTTACATGTAATTTGGGTGTTGTTTTTCTCTTGTTGGTTTTCAATCCAATACCTCCTTCCTCTGTGATGCAGGAAGGGACCAGGCAAGGTCCTTGGTACAGCAGAAAACATGAAACCTGTGACCTGCAAAGCAGCACGGAGCTGATAAAGCAGCACTACTGCTTGCAGCTACAGATGGAGTCAAACCAATCCCCCACAGATAAAGTGAGGAGGAAAGGAGAAACATAAAAACTTTCAGCATTTTGGACAGACATAAAAGAGAATTTCCCTTTGATCACTCTTTACTGCAAACCACAACGAGATGAAAATGATTTAATCAGAAGAGTGAGAATGTTTTTATTTTTCAACAAGGCAACATTCAGGAAGCAAAACCAGCCTGCTTTGTTTTAGCTGCAACTTGATGCCATTGATGCTATTTAATAATCAAGAATAAGAAATAATTTCAAGACAGAATTTTAAATGATGTGAACCCATCACATATCCAATCTTCATCTATTCCCAGCTTCCACAGTGCTCGCTTTAATCTTGTTCAGACAGACAGATCAAGGTTCTCAGACTGGAGCACTGAGATCCTCCAGACTCAGCTCTCCTGTGTTATTTTGTCATTCTGTGCTCCTATATGCTACCAGCACAAAGTGAAGGTAAATATGGGGGAGACGTCATGGAGCAGTACAGGAAAAAGGCACAACGCGGGTGTAAAACAGAAGAGGATCTGTACAACTACATATTTTCCTGTATTTTTGATATTTTTAATGAAGACCAAATCAGTCTTTAAGGTAAAAATAAGAAATAAACCTCCCTACACGAAGAGACAAGCATCCCCCAGCAAACAGCCACGCAATACTGTGGTGGGAATCGAGCCCTCCAAAGGGATTTCTTAATACCTGGTAACAATTCACACCAAGCACTCTTCTGTTTCACCTCTAGGTTTCAATAGATAGCCATGAGCGGGACCAAGCGTGGGTCCTCTGCGGCCACCAGAGGGATGAGCTCCCCTGTATGCAACTACAAGAGCTGCCCATGATTGCAGAGCCTGTCAGCTGGGATGAAGGTGGAGTGACACTTCACCTGTATTAACAGTAAATCATAAGCCAGGATCAAACCAAAGAGTGCAAACGTTGGGGCATAGGGGAATATGTAGTGACAGTCAGAAAATGGTTGCCATGTATGCTGAAAGAATAACCTGACTGGTACATTAATGCCTGCTTATGACACAAGTTTGTCTCAGCTGAAAAGTAGCATCTAAACACAGTGAAATTCCATCTTAAGGATTTTGAGGGAAAACAGTTAGAGAAACAATTCATACAAACCATTTACCCCATGAATATAAACCCAAAGCAGTATAGTTGTAGCTCTGGCAGGGACCAGGTTCCACTGTTACTGTCCATTCAGCCGCAGTACCCAAATGAGCTTAATAGTTTTTCACAGAACTTCTTTCTTCTGCACACACACTGCTACACTAAAACCAAAAAATAAGCCTGTTTTCCTATTCCCTGGAACACTGTGGATTCAACAAGGGGCTTCTCTTTAAGCTCCTCCATCAGAGCACAGTGCTAGCTATGCTTCAGTCTTCATGGGCTGCTCCTGAACAAAGTGTGCTCATAAATTTTCTGCAAAAGCTTCTGCAATATTGATTTCTTCTTTCTTTAGCACCACGGTTATATACTGGCTAGAACTGATGATTATCAAATTTAGGAGGCTCTTACAGTTTTAAACATGGCTCATCTGTTTATCTCAGTATCTTCTTGACCTGTGTTCTTTTATCATGTCGCAAGCGGTTGTATGTACAGGAAAAACACACAGAGCATCTCGATAAGACATCCAAGCAGATGAACTGAACAACAAATCCTCTTCCTGCAAAAACAACATACGAGTGCACAGAACATTCAGGGATGCACTGCAGTGAGCTGACAGGCAGCAGGTGAGAAAAATGCTCTGTTGTTAACTGGCCCTTGTTCAAACAGGGCTGGAAAAATCTGCTTCACCCTTCTCTAGCAATCCTGCTCACTGGCAGCGTGTGGAGCACCAGCATTCACTCAGCTACAGGAGACCTCTTCCTCATCCTGCAATTTCTGTGGCTGTTTACAGGCAGTTCAGCCTGACCTTGCAGGATTAATAAGTCACACATCAATGATTCCTTCCTCCAAAATGTTTTATCGCTCTAATGAGGCACAAGCACTCAGAGAAGGTAGTTATCATTATGTTCATTTGACAGCCAAAGGAAATGGAAGCAGAGATGTAAAGTGATTTCCTGAACACACTGAAGAGAGCCAGAGGCTGATCCAGAGATCTCCAGTTTCCAGTAAGGAAATAATAAGTGCCACACAGTGCACTTTTCCCAGCTCCCCTCTCCTTTTCTATCTGGCACTGCATAAAGACTCCAAAAATACGCAGTCCCATCAAGCTACCAATGTAGGCAGCAGCATTCAGTTACCTCTGCACTCCTCCTTTCAAAATGATGCTTGTTTCTCTGAAGCGTGTCATACGAAGAGAGCAAGCTTCAAGTAGAACCTTAGGAAGGAGACTGGTGATAACACACCTCAGGTCTCACACGATGCCTTCATTTGTTGCCACATTGATTTGTTCTAATTTAAAAACATCTAAATCAGGTTCAAGGAAGGACAGTATGATTTTGTTCATTTAGCCAAATTAAGGCTCTAATGTAACAAAAGCAGACGAAGAAACTGAGTCAATGCTTCCCTCCTCTGCCTAGTCATTGCTATGGATAACTGTACCACCCATCTTTACAAATGTGGCTGCCAAAAACCAAGAAGAAATACTTTGCAATATCTGTCACTGGAAATAAGATTCAGAAGTAGATAAGCAATTTATTTTTCTTTTGGGAGAACACAGTAATGAAAAAGAAAGAATAAAACCGACAGTAACATGTTGGCACAAGAGACCTGTCTCTTGGATTTGATTTTAAAGGGGATGAGTGGGATGTCATCTATAGATGTTATGCAAAGCAACCAGAACAACTTGATCCCCTATGAGATATTAACCACAAGCGTGAAATCTCAGAGGAAAAAGGCCAAATCAGAGTTTCCCTGCCTGCAAACGCCTGCAGAACAGACTTTGTATGGTGAAGAAACTCAGGGATTTAAATCAGCTGCTGCCTAAAGAAAATCCAAAAGCTGGAACAGGGTTTGAAGAACTCCCACCGCTCCTTTTGTCACTGTGCAGCTAAGGGCTTGCTGATAACATGCTGTTTCTCTGCAGGTTTGAAATCCTATGGAACAACCGGTGTTGCTCTTTCACCTAGCTAAAGCACCACGGCCAAGTGCCCCACTCCAAAACACAACCACCAACCTCATTAAACATCACCCAATCCCTGGTTTTGGGGCAACGTGGTGAACAAGTTCCCAGGAAGCAGCCTCTTACCACCTGATTCCAGCATCATCCTCCCTGCAGCCCAGCTTCAGGTGAATCTGCAGTATAGAATCTTCAGGGCTCAGGCTGATTTACCACCTTTCATCACAGTGGATAAAGGTGAACCCACAGTACTGTTACCCTGCTCCAGCTCACGAGTTGCATGCAGCACAATAAAAGCCCTGAATGTCAGTTGCTATTTTACTGTCTGCACTGACAAGAAGGAGATGCTCCCTGAGATTCCTTGGAAACA